GCGGGAGCGGGAGCGCGCGGCCGGCAGCCCCGCCTCGCCCGAGGGCTCCCCCAGCAAGTCGCCCTCCAAGAAGAAGAAGAAGTTCCGCACGCCCTCCTTCCTCAAGAAGGGCAGGAAGAAGGAGAAGGCCGAGGCGTGAGGCGCCCCCCGCGCCGCCGCCGCCCCCCGCCGCCCCCCGCTTGTCACCCCCCCCCACCGCCGCCTCCCGCCACCGAGTGACCGATAATAAAGGGACTGCGCGAAAGCAGAGCCGAGCCCGCCGCGCTCCGCACCGGGGCGGCCCCTCGAGCACACGGGGGGTCGGGGGGGGGGGAGCCCGGTGACACCCCCGCCCCGCGCCCCGCCATGGGGACACCCGCGCTGCGGAACCACAGCGCGCGGCGCGTGTTCCCCCCCCCCCCCTCGGGCTGGGGAGGGAAGGGGAAAGGGGACGGACCGGAAGCGCGGCGCAGCGGGGCCGGAAGCGCGGCGGGCACCGGCGGCGGGATGGGCCGCAGCCGCTCCCGGTCGCCGCCGCCGCGACGCGGTGAGGGGGGGGCGGTGGGAGGGGGGCGCCGGGCCTGGGGGCGGCACCGGGGACCCGGGGGGTACCGGGAACCTGAGGCGGGTACCGGGACCGGGGAGCGGTACCGGGACCAGGGGGCGGTGCCAAGGCCTGGTACTGGGGACCTGGGATTGGTGCCTGGGGCGGCCCCGGGCCTGGGGGTGGTAAAGAGGCTCTATGGGCGACACCGGGGCTTGGGAGCGGTGCCGCGGAGCAGTACTGGGGACCTGGGGACGGCACCGGGACCTGGGGACGGCACCGGGACCTGGGGGGCGTCACTGAGGCCTGCGAGCGGTACCGGGGCCTGCGGTGAGCGAGGAGGGCAGGCAGAGCCGGGGTGCAGACGGCCCCGGCCCCTGTGCTGACGCCGCCGCGCAGAGCGGCGCCGCTCGCGCTCGGCCTCGCGGGAGCGGGAGCGCCGGCGCCGGGACAGGTCGCGCTCCCGCGAGCGGGACCGCAGGAGGAGCCGCTCGCGCTCCCCGCACCGGCGCCGCTCCAGGTGAGGCCCCCGCCGCCCCCCGCGGCTCCGCGCGCCCGGCCGCACGACCCACACCGGCGCCCGCTGCCCCAGGTCCCCCCGGCGGCACCGCTCCAGCTCGTCCTCCCCGCCGCGCCTCAAGGAGCGGCGGGACGAGGAGAAGAAGGAGCTCAAGGACGCCAAGGGCAAGGAGCGGCAGATCACGGGTAACGGCGCGCGGCGGCGCAGCCGGGCGGCAGCCCCCGGGATCGCCGCCCGCAGCCGCAGGCCCCTTCGCTGACCCCTCGGGCGGCCTCGCGGCGCGCTTGCCGTTTCAGAGGAGGACTTGCAGGGCAAGACGGAGGAGGAGATCGAGATGATGAAGATGATGGGCTTCGCCTCCTTCGACACGACCAAGGTGAGGGCTGCAGCGGGGAAGCCGGAGGCGCTTGTGCGGAGCGGAGGCCTTGCCCGAATAGCCCCTCGTTAGCACGTCCGGCTCCTAACGATGACGTTGGCGCCGCACCACGTGTGCCCGGGGCATTTTCCTTGCTGTGGAGATGCCCCGTGCGTGCCGGGTTCCCTCTTTCCAGCCGGGATGCTGGGGCTCAGGTGACTGTTTAGCCCCTCGAAGGGACGTCCTGATGCGAAGTGCCCTGATGCCGCCGGCCCGCGCGCGCTCCGCGTTGCTGCGCCCTTTCCCTGGCCCGTTCCGAACGGCACACTGAGGTTTGCACCGTTTTCCTCGTATCTTCCAGGGGAAGAAGGTGGACGGCGCTGCGAACGCTTACGCCATCAACGTGTCGCAGAAGAGAAAATATAGGTTTGTCCTTCCGCCCGTCGGGAAACTCTCCCTGCTGTGGTGACCGCGCTGTTTTACCTGCAGTTCTTATGCTAAGAGAAACAATTCCTTTAACGCAGTAGCCTCTTTGAGAGGAAACTGCAGCTGCGTGCGGGTGTTTTGGGTCTGGTGCTGCTGTTTTAAGTGGAAGCTGGAAGGTTGTCCATTTTCCCAAGTTTGGAGACCCTCATGGTTTGTTTGCGTGTTTTAGTCACGGTTACCAAGTTTTCTTTGCCCTCCTCACAGGCAGTACATGAACAGAAAAGGAGGATTCAACAGACCCTTGGATTTCATTGCGTGATGCCTGTGTGGCCGGTCGCCCGTGGGGAAGGACTTCTGCTCCACCAGGGAAGAGCACTTGTTTCCACACGTGCTGGTAGCTCAGAGGCAGGAGATGCTTTGCTGCCTAAAATGCAGTCGGGTTATTTATAACAAATCCAGATGTGCTTGCTCTGGCCTATAGGAAGAGAGGGTAAAAATAGTTGTTTCTTAGCATCTTCGGTTCGTTCCGTGTCAGGGTTACCTGATGGTTGTATTTTTCTTGTTGTCTGTCTTTTTTTTTTTTTTTTTTTAGATACCTCGGTATTGTCCGTTACAATAAAAATCTGTATATATTTCCCTTTTTGTTTTCTAAACCGTGCTAGCATCACTCAGGAATAAAACCTGAGAGGAGGAGGCTGGAGATGCCCGGGCCGTTATCTGCCCGCACGCAGCGGCGGGTCGGAGCAGGTGCCGCGATGCTGCCGTGTGTGGGTAGTGCCGGGAGGAATCCCGGGAACGCCGCCCCCACAGCCGGGAGCCGCTAGCGGTGCCGTCCATCCTGCTCCTCAAGCGCGTGGAGTTTGGAACCGGTTTAGGGTTTTGAGCAGAGAGAGGTCGACTGCGTTTCCCCTCGCGCGTCGCTGGGCCAAGGCTCGTGCCTCGCTGCCGCTGGTCTCGCAGGATTTCCCACCGGCGACTCCCGCCGCGCGTTTAATCCTCTTCTTGCTACTTGAGCCGTCAGATCCCTCCTCGYTGTGGCGTGGGCTGGCACGGAGACAGCAACGCTGGGAACGTAATTGGTGACTACAGGAGAACCGTGTATTGCAGGGAATTCCCGAGCCTTTCCCAGCCCAGGAGGTGGCAGCACCGACCTGGAGCAGCCGGAGCCCTTCGAATCCAGGTGGCCGAGACAAAAGGCGGCTGCTGCCCCTTGGAATTTGAGGCTTTCCTCCCTTTTTAAAATATTCTGGCCGATAATGCAACTGCTCATGGGGCAAAGTAACACTGCAGGAGCACGGCCTGGATTTTTAGCTGCCTTTTAATGCAGTGGTGTGAAACATTTGAGCTCTTTTTCAGAGAAAAAGCAGCCCAGAGGAGGTCCTGCCTTAGGGCCTCTCCTGCCTTCTACTCTCTGGTACCTGCTGAGCCCGACAGATCCCCAAGAGGGATCTTGGGATCAGCCGTGCTTCGGTTCTCTGCTTCTCCAGACGGTTTCGGGAGGAATTGTGTGTATTTGACCAGGGCGTTGGAGCGTTTTTGCTTCCCCAGGTCCAGCTTGGTGTCCCCCGGCACCTCCCCGGCCGCGCCGAGGGCGGCACCAGCTCCCGCGCCCTCGATTCCCCTGCGGATTTCGGACAGGGTGGGTCGGGACACGGCTAATCAGCCGGGGCCAGGCCGGCAGGGTGACTTGTCACCGGCTGCCGCCCGCAGATAAGGCCCCGCCGGCCGCGGCGATTTCCAAACCGGCCGGACGGACGAGTCACCCCTCGTCACGCCAGCGCGTCAGCTCCCCGCGCGCCCCGTCGTCAGCCGTGCRGGGAAAAAAAAAGGTTTTGGGTGGAGAAAACATCCGTGTTTTGCCGCAAACCCGTCCCGACTCRTCTGCCACGCGGTTTGCTGCGTAGTGAGGCGCCCCCCGAGCCCCCCGGCCCCCCAGGCCGCTCCCGGGCCCCGTTTTCCTGCGTTTCGAGCCGGAAAGGGCCTGGACCGGGCGGGGCGCCGGGCGGGGCCGGGAGTCACCCCGGGACGAGGTGGGGCCCACGGGGGGCGGGGGGGGCTGGGTGCACCCTGACCCCGCGGGGGTGTCTGTATAGGGGGGGCCCTGTGGGGGGTCCCTGCATGGGGGGGCTGCAGTCCCCATGCCCTAAAGGGGGGCCCTTCCCTGGAGAGGGGGTCCGGGGGGGGGATTGAGCCCCCTGTCCCCAATGGGGGCCCTGAATGGGGACCGGGGGGTGGGGGAACGTGCCCCCCTCCCCCCCCCCGTGGGGCCCACGTTGACACACGGCGACGGCGTCCCGCCCCCTCGGCGCTCCGTGATTGGCTGTCTGGGCAGGAAGTGAGTCAGAATTGAAGGCTGCGGGGGAGTGCCGCATACCAAATAAGGCGAGGTGCTGTTGGAGGCCGAGCCAATGGGAGGCGGATGGCTGGTGGAGGGGCGGGGCGTCGCACGGGGCTGAGCCAATAGCGGGAGCGCGTGGCGCCCCCACCCAATAGCAGCGGCAGCGGGGCCACGCCCCTCCCTCCCCCGCAATCTCCACCAGTGAAAAACGGCACCGGCAGCCCCGCGACCCAATGAACGCCGAGGGCCGGGCGGCGRCGACCAATGAGGGCGCGGCGGGGCGGGGCCGGCGGAGCGGGCGGATAAACAGCGGCGGCGCCGCCGTTCGCTCTCCGCTCCCCCCGCCCTTCCCGGCCGCCGGTCCGCGCGCTGCCCCCCTCCCCTCCCGGCGCGGCAAGATGGCGGCGCGCGGCGGCGGCACCATCCAGATGCTGCTGGAGGCCGCCGAGTACCTGGACCGGCGGGAGCGCGGCGGCGGGCGGCCCCTTCCTCCTCCCGCCGCGGCGCGGGCGCGCGCGGAGCGCCCCCGGGGCGCCCTGTGCCTCGCAGAGGCCGAGCACGGCTACGCCTCGCCGCTGCCCTGCGGCGGCGGGGACGGCGAGGCGCTGCGGCGGCGCGCCCGGGCCCGCAGGAGCGGCGGCGGCAGCAGGTAACGGCGGCACCGGCGGGGGGAGGGGGGAAGCGCTGGCCCGCGGCCGTTAGGAACCGGCCCCGCTGCCGTGAGGGGCCCTGGAGACCGCGTCCCCCGCGGGCCCGGCCGCCGCGGCGCGCCCCGGTGCCCCCCAGCCCCGGTGTCCGCGGGCTCCGCGCCTCCCTCCGCCCGCTCCTGCGGCTGGGCGCGGAAGAGGGGCTGTTTGGGGGCTGGTTTTCGCTTTATGCTGCCCTCAAACGCCCCGAGCGCCGCCCGTGGCCCCCGGGCACCGCGGGGTCGTTYGCCCCAGGGTGAGCCCCGTCCAGCCCGGGGGTGCTCGGAACAGGCCCSGGCAGCGAGCCGGCCCGTTGTCCCGGGCAGGGGCGATTCCCGTGTCCCGCTCGGGTCCYGCCGGAGCCGGCGGGGTCGTTGGGCGCGCGCGGGTGCTGCCGGGCTGCTCTTTACAGGGGTGTTTAGTGACACCGGCCTGTGGATGGGGCGCCCCGCGTCCTGCCTCGTTTGCCCCTCTCCCCTTCGCTCGCCCTCCGCTGCTCCCCTCTCAGCCCGAGCAGRGGTCGAGTTTTGGCTCCTACGTCTTAACTTTCCCCAAGAGACTTCTCTCAGCAGATGGGAGTTATTAGTGGGGAAAAAATGAGCGTAACTTTGATCACTCTGTAACAACACTGGTTTCTTTTTTCATCGTCTGCTAGCTTTTCCCTCTCTTTCGTGGTGTTAAAATCGCCCCAGTGCTGCAGAGATCCCAGTTAGGGACTGGTTTTCCAGGACTGGTGTCTCTCGATGACTAGGGCCGCCGCTGGAGAGCCGAGAACCCCCTCGGAGAGGAACTCGAGGGCAGAACGAAGCCGGCGCGGGTTCCTCGCGCAGCGTCATCCGYGGGCAGGTGGCCGTGGTTCCCGTTGGTCCCCGTTCAGCTGTTTGCCTAGGGAGGAGCACCTTTGCTCCGCCGCCAGACGGGCCGCGTTTTCCTCGTTCTGAGCAGATTTGTGCGTGTTACGCGGCCACGGTTGACCTTTGATAGCGCCTGGGACAACAGGCGCTGCCCAGGACACCTCATACGTGACAGGCCGCTTTCTGCACCCTGTTTGGATGTCTCCTAAGGCCGGGGTGTTCCCGGCTTCTCCCGCGCAGCCTCCAAGGGCTGCCGGGTGCCTGTGGTGCCGGGGGAGCCCATCAGCTCCTTGGGTCCCTGGGGAAGCCGAGCGCTTTCCCGCAGAGATGCCRAATGTCGCCCCATGCTCCGGCATCCAGAGGTGCTTCGAGTTTCCACCCGGAAAGGGGAGATTTTCAGCCCGCTTTAAGATGTTTCCGGTGGTGAATCATAGTGGCAGAACTAATTTCTGGGTTGTATTAAAAATAGAATCGGCAATTACTGCTTTTGCTGGTACTTTCTTCTGTTGTGATGGTCTGGAGGAAGGAAGATGGGAGTTTAGAAAGTCTCAGGGAGTTTAGACGTGCCGGGGTGCGTAGAGCTGTCGCTGAGGTGCAGGTATTTAAGTATTTTTGAAATATCAACTGTCCAAACAAAAAAAGAAAAAAGGCATCAGGGCTGCAAAACAAAGGTGCTAAAGAGAGGGTGAGTTTATTACTAAAACCTTTTATCTTTGCCTGGCCCAGTAGTAAAGTGCAGGTTTGTTGCTGTAAGTCACTTGCRGGAGCTTGAGGTTGCGACTGGGCTGTGGAGAAGGTTCAGAGTTGAAACGTCGAACCCCTTGATGTGGAAAAGTTTAGTGGTGCAGTCCCGGAGAGCCCCGGTCTGTCGTCCTGGGTGTTTGCAGGTGCTCTGGTGAGAATACCTGGCTGTTCCACGACACGGCACAACAAGGTGCATCCGTCCAAACGGCCTGTGAAGAAACACGAACTGGAGCAAGGAGCAGCTTGGCCATTTTGCTTCTTTCCTCCTCTTTCGTAGCTCAGAATAAGTTAGGAATGTGAGGATAATTTGCAAATGGACTTTGGAAACAGGTTATCCCGTTTCCCGTTGGGCATCTCTCACACAGCCCGGCACGTGCACGTGCCACAGGGTGGTTTGATCCCGGGAATCTTGTCYGTGTGTCACCTGCCTGGGTGTTTGTCACCGGACGATGAGCACGGGGCAAGTGGCCCCTTCCTGCGCGGGGAGCTCTGAGCTCCACAGAAACGAATCCCAGACGCGACACCGAGATGTTTGGGGCTGCTCTTTGCTAAACCCTCTTGTCCTTGTGCGCATCAGCCTGTCCTTAGTTTTGGGTGGATTTCTGCTTAAATGCAACCTGCAGAAAAGCAGGTTGTTGTTTTTTTTCCAGAGGGCRGCCCGTGGTACTGCAGCTTCCATCTAGATTTCGGGGAATTGTTAATCCCCATCTCTTTGCTCTCTGTGCGGTAGCTGCAGACACTCGATGGGCTTCTCTTGCCTCCTGCGCGTTTCTCGTGCASCAGTGAGACAGAAATCTTTGGAAAGCTTCTTTAACCGTGCAATTAGCCCAGCACTCGAGGGCATCTGYGGTGTGAGAACACACACGTTACTCCTAATAGGCTGAACTTCACCTTTGGGTGAAGATGGAGCAATTTTCCTCTTTCAGCTTAGAGATAAGAGCTTGTGCACTGAGAGCGTGGCGGATCTCAAGGGTCGGTTGCTTAATCTCCTGCACTAAAGCCTTTGCCACGAGTCTGGGGAGCTTTTGGGGGATGTCATTACACTGGTATTCAGCTGCTTCCACGGTAGTCAGCATTAACGTGAAAATATCGAGCCCCTCACTTCTCACATTGAGCCTCTTCACTTCCAAATCCCATCTCCTGCTTTTACTTGGCTTATCTGGCAACTTCTCCGTCACTGGGGCCCGTGGGGTGTGAGGTCTGCGTCGCTCCCAACGCTTTGATGTCCCCAGGGTGCCCGCAGCTCTTGGAAATGGTTTTCCCCAAGGTTTGCAGCTCTCCTGTGAGCCGTTGCTAGGACTGTGTTGATCTTAGTTGCCGGCTGCGTTGTCACCCCGTGCTTGCCAATAGCAGAGGGGTGAGCTAATCACTCGTTTTCTTTCTTTCTTCCTCCAGGTCAACACACAAYGAGATGGAGAAGAACAGGTGAGTGTCTGGGATCCATGAGAATCTGTGATCGAAGGAACTTGCTCTTTTGCAGCCTGCGCCGGCGTCGCCCGGGTCTCCTTGCCAGGGAAGGAGCTGCCGCGGGTGCCGTGGGCTGGCTGGATGGTTGGGAACCCGASCAGGGGCTCGGGCCCTGCTGCGGGAGGGGAGGAAGGGGCAGTGGGGGGCAAGGCACCCTGGCACCTCGCTCCAGCCTGGAACGTTTCCTGTCCCCGGCCGCTGCCGCTGTGTAGTGAGCAGCTGGGAAGGCGGCTCGTCCACTGCGCGGACTCCCAGGCTGGAGAAGCCCCGAGGATCCTGCCCCTCTGGAGCCCCAGCGCTGCCCATCCCGTGGAGAGGAGCCCGTCCCTGTGGGAGACGCCCGTCTGCTCGCCCTGAGCCCCGGTGCACGGTGCCGGCCACCGGGAACGGTCCCCACGGGCTGCCGAGGTGGCCCTGGGGCCCGCAGGGACCCAAGGGAGCCCGGATTCTAATCACRTTGAGCCCAGGGCATCTGCTTTGCACAAGGAGATAGCTGGGCTCACCGTGGTGATACGTGTGCGTTTTGGGGTGCAAAGACCTGTCCTAAGCTGTAGGTAGGAGATGTGTAAATAACCTGCTGTGCTGGCGGATGCAACGGCGAGCTGGAAGCTTCCTTTAATAGAAAAGCCCGACACGTGTTAACTGTTTTGGGGGCCTTTTAATGTGCCCTTATGCACTTTCAATTGCACATCTCTCCTCAGCGAGCTCCTGGAGCTCAGCTGAGCTGTTCCTCTCTGGAGTATTTTGTGGAGGTCCAGATTTGGAGCAGAGAATGTGAATAACTGTTGCTGTTTGGGACGGGCCGGTGCAGCCTTTGTCATCTCAGTGAAATATGGCTCTGTGGCCTTTGCAAGCTTCTCTTTTCCTCAGTATGGCTTGGATCTGACTCGGATGTTGCAGTGTAGGGTTGTCTGTTGTTGATTAAGCATKTCTGTGAACTTGGCTTGCTCCTCATCTTAAGAGGCAGAAATATCCAAGTCCCGAGTGATGTGGCTTAGAAAAGGACAGGCGATTTATTCCTCATTTTGAATAACATGGAAAATGAGCATTTTCTTGCTGAAAACCTGAGGTGTATTTACAGCTTTACCAGAGGATGCATTGCATCCCTCACCACCCCGTTGTTTAAACCAGAGCTGTGTTGAAATCCTGTTTACAGTATTGCCCAAGTAAGTTAGCAAAAGGGTTTAAAAACAGAAATTTTAAGAGGCAGYTGAAAATAAAACATTTTTTTTTCTTTGTGCAGAGACCACGGACCCCTTCCTATTTCTCTGCTAATTGCAAATAGTTTAATATCCACTTGTGCTGCTGTTGAGCTGGTGAGTCCCGGCCTTGGTCTTAAGATGTGGCTAACACTGCTGGCAAAACTTGCTTCCTTTCCCACTAGTTCAAGGACCAGTTTAGCTTAATATTTGGAGAGCAAATCATGGGGAGATGGTATCTTGCGTGAGCACCAGCATAATGAAATGCTTTGGCTGGCACGTGAGGGACTTGAAAGATCATCCGTTGCTTAAACAAAACTTTTAAGCTTTTTTAGCATTATTGTTTTAGCTGCYCAGGGAGACTTCTGGGCTTTGTCTGCGGCAGCAGTTTTTATCAGGCGTTTGCTCGAGTTTGACAGCCCGCRCTGTAAAAACTCTGAAGTGGAAACTGAAATTTTAGCTTCAGAATTCGCCTTGCGTAAGGCCGAGCGCTGCTTCGTGTTGGCCAAGCCGCGCTGAGCGGGCGCCTCACTTCTGCATTTCCCACCATCGTGCGTGTTCCTCTCTCGGTTTTAACACCCGGGCGTCACTTCTGCTGCTGGATTTGGTGGAAAAGGGCCGTTTTTTATTTATTTATTCTAACCCTTGCAGCAGTCGGTCGTGCGAGCTGCTCCCCAGCTCCTGCAGGTGCCTGCCCTCCGACTTGGGGTGCAGCAGGCCAGCTCTGCGAGGCTCCAGCACGATCCTAGCCCTCTTCTTGGAGATCTCCCTTGCAGAGGTTCCTCTCTGGAGCTCCGGGTGCTCGGGACGTACCCGGAGAGCAGAGCCCACGTGCTTTCCGTGCCTTGTACCTCGGGAGGAGCTCGGTGTAGGCAAATCCTTGTTTACTCGCGGCGTGTGCTGAACGGGCTGGGCAGGTAGTTGCAAAATCTCCGTTTGCAGCTGCCTGTCTCAATTAGCTGTTTCAAAGGCAGGTGTTGCAACCGGTGCCCAACGACGTGACCTAAATATCGGGGCTGGAGAAACCCGCCCGTGTCGGGAGCAGCGGCGCTGGCCGCAGGGAAGGGATCTCTGTGGGGAGCTCTGTTTTCCCCGCTGTGTGCACGAGCAGTGAAGCAGCAGCCTGCGCGTTAGGGTGTGCTGGGGGTTTGCTGCTCTGATCAACGTCGAGCCCATCGGGGCCTGAGCAAGGATTTTGTTTTGGACAGAGCTGCGGCTGGCTGATTTCTACTAAAAATGGGTAAAAGAAGGGCCTGAAAGGATGCCCATCCCGTTACATCTGTGCAGTCTGACCATGGACTGCGCTGGCTGGACCAAGAAGATGTTACAYGTGGGGCGAAGCTTTGGGTCTTGCTCCATGTAGGGCAGCCAGTTGGAACTGGCTGCTGCGTGTTTGCCAGGGGCCTCAGTCTTTAGAGGCCATAGGGTGGTTTGGAAGAAGTTCCCCCATTTCTGGATGGCTTTAAAGATCTGATCTTGGAGCAGGGTGATAACCCAGGGGTAGGAAAGCCCCAGGTCTTACGCCAGAAGAATGAAATCCTAACCCAAATGGCCAGCTGCTGTTATTTATTGTATGCCTTAGGTTATAAATGCCCTGGTTATCTTTGCCATGGCTGCTTGCAGATGCTGAGTGCTCTGTAAACACTCTCTAACGTGTTGTGGGAACTCTTCTTTCTCAGGCGTGCCCATCTGCGACTCTGTTTGGAGAAGCTGAAGGGGCTGGTACCGCTCGGACCCGAATCCAGCAGACATACCACCCTGAGCTTACTAAAAAAGGCTAAATTGCACATAAAGGTGAGTTTGAGCTCGTTTCCTTGCGGGAAACATCCCCAAGGAGCAGGGCGTTGAGAACCTTTGAGATGCRCAACGGATTGTGCAAATCAAGTTCCGCTTTGTTGGGGCAAGCTACCTCTCCAGAGGGTTGCGAGAGAACCCAGAGGGCTCCAAAAAGTGAAGCTCCTCCAAGACCAAAACATCCCCAGACATTTAGTTTGGTGCCTGCTGTAGCTGTTGGTGTTCAGCTTTGCTCCCATTAGGCGAGCGCTCATTTCCAGTTCAAGAGTAGCCTTCCTGCAGGGATTTCCATGCATCCTGAGTGTTAGAAAGGAAAAAAACAAGCAGCTGGATCAGTTCTTGTTATGAGAATACTGACTTAGACTCATGTTGTCAGAGGGCAGGGTTGTTTTTCTCGCAGTTGATGTTGGTGGTTGATGCGGCAAGTTAGTCCAACAACGAAGGCCTCTCTGAGACATCACTATGGATTCTGGAGCTGTTCTTTAAAGCCTGATTCAACTCTGGAGTTTTAGGAACTCTAAAAGCTTAGAGTTTCTCCCTGCAAAAAGTTGATTGTTCAATTTGAAAAGCTGCCTGTGTCAATCTGTCCGATTGTCTGACRCTCTGCAGTTGTTTCTGTGATTTCCCTTGTGCCCTGGCTTGTAGCTGCTCTGATTCGCTTGCTTAATGYACTGAGTGCGGGCCTGAACGTCCTTCATTGGGTAGCAGAGAAGGTTTTTGGGTAACATTAAGCTGATTTTCAGTCCTGCCGTGTGTGCAGCCCCAGAGGCTAGAGCGGAGGAGCGCGGGCCTGGCCGCCCTGCACGGGGGAGCTAACGGTGCCTCGTTTCCCCACTCGCAGAAGCTTGAAGAATACGACAGAAAAGCAGTCCACCAAATAGACCAGCTGCAGCGGGAGCAGCGGCACCTGAAGAGGCAGCTGGAGAAGCTGGGCATGGAAAGAGTGAGAATGGACAGTATCGGATCTACCGTTTCCTCCGAGCGCTCCGACTCGGACCGAGGTGAGGCCCCGCGGGCGCGCGCCCGCCGCCGAGCAGCTRTGCGGCGTCTCGCCGGCCGTGCCGTAACGCTGCCCTTTGTGCTTGCAGAAGAGATGGACGTGGATGTGGAAAGCACAGACTGCCTCCCCGCAGACCTCGACTGGAGCAGCAGCAGCCTGAGCGATTCGGACGAGCGGGGCAGCCTGCAGAGCGTCTGCAGTGACGAAGGCTACTCCAGCTCGGGCGTGAAGAGGTTGAAGTCGCAGAGCGATCGCAAGCCTTGCCCYGGGCTATAAGAAGTGACTCCTGCAGCCGTTTCCCTTTTGGATCCCGTTAGGTTGTACGTTGGACCGTCCCACGATTCTCTTGCACGTCAATCCGATGTTCCGCCGCCGTTACCGAAGCCAGCTCCACCCAGGGCCCGAAACAGTGCGTAGGGGTGTGGGTTACGAGCCGCGCGCTGGAGCGCCCCGCTGGTCACATCCACTAGCTCCTCTTCCCATTGGGAAGCTCCTCTCCATGAGACCGTACATTCCGAGCAAATTTTYACGCGCCTGGGGAATTTTTAGCAGTAACAGTGACCTAAAAAAGCCTCTGCTCGTTTTGTTTTTGGCTTGCTGTTAGTGCCTGGTATTCTAGATTGACTTCACGTTTGCCTAGCAATGTCACGTATCTTGTAAGTGGAAGCAGAGCCCCAAAGTAGCTCGCTTGGGTGACCCTCCGAAGGGAGGGTCGACCTGAYGTTGAGTTCAGATCTGGCAGCGGGTGGAGGGAAGCCTGGGAACGGCGCACGAAGCGTTTGGGATGCGTCGCGTCTCCGACGCGTGCGGTGATTGCACTGTGAAACGCTGGCGCGTTCATTTGAGGACTTATCTCACGTATTCAGGGTAGCAGCATAACCTTTGGCCTGCTCTTGCCGTCTTATTGCAGCTCCTACTGATTTTTGAAGGCTGAAAAGCGGGAGAAATCCCACCGGGCCATTCCTGCCTCGGCGCCCGCGGAGCCAAGGGAGGTTTCATGGCATTGGGACCCATCTCAGGAGGCTTGGAGCCCGCTCTGCCAAAAGCCAGGTGCTTCTGCCTGCCAAACCGGGCTGCGGGACCTTGGCAAGGGCCTTTGGGAGGGCGTCCTCAATTGTTACACATCTCAAAAGCTTCTTTCCTACCTAAAACCAAATGGTACTAGACTTCTCCTGTGCAATTTATGACCTCGTGCATTACAGCTGCATATAGTAATATATCTAGGCAAGTTTTCCTAGAAGCTTGTTCATGCGTCTTGTCTCTGGGACAATTTTTTCTACCTCGGAGAGATGAACAAAGATTATCTCGATCCCTTTAGCACAAAACTAACGATGCCTCGCTCGTTCGAGAGCGGCGATGCTGGGTCCCGTCCGGAGCTGGTAGCAATAACCGAGCGAGGAGGGCGACCGTTTTACCCGTGTCACATAACAGGGAGTTTCCTGCGTTTATTTGGGGRGGCGTTATTGGCATTTTAGCACTTCTCTGGCTCGCTGAGTTACTTCTAGGCGCTCTAAAACTGGTTCGCTAAGGATTTGGGTTCCACCTTCGAGAGGGAAAAAGAAATGACAAACTGGAAGCCGCCGCTTCAGACCCTGCAGCGCTTTCCTTTAAGCCAACTAGAGCACATGTAAATGTACAGAAAGACACATGATCTATAAATGGTATTTATTCCTTTTATATGAAACTAATGTAACGGAGATACGTTCTTATGACTTTGTGCTTTTATAGATGTTCCAGGAACTTTGTACGTAGCGTTGGCTGAGTGAGAGAGAGAGAGAGATTTATTTGGTCTTTTCTTTTTTTTCTTTTTGCTTGACATGTTTTAAGGTCTTTCTATTCGACCTGCTCAGCATCCTTTGGGCCCCGAGCCCGGGGACTCGACCAACTCGCCCAAGGCGACYGCTGGGCAGCCTCCCACCCAAGGGCTACGTGGCTGCTTTAGCGACGGGCCTGRCGGCCTCGTCCCTGCTCGGCAGAAACCAAGCTTAAAAAAGGCAAGTTCTAAGACTTTGCTAGCGGAGCTGCCAAAAGCCACTAAGACACTCTATAAACTGCAAGTGAATGAACAAGTGAAGACTTGGTTTGTTTGGGGTTTTGGGTTTTTTTCAAGTATCCTTAAGGTATTTTTGGATCATTTGAACTCTTTGCAAAGCAAGTGGCTGGGAGCAAATACGTTCTCTTCCCACGTGTGCTGTGTTTTAAAAGGAAAAAAAAAACAGAGGATTTGTTGTTTTGAAACAGCTGGGATTTTTGCACGTCCCGTGTATTTGCACTGAACTCGTTTGCCTTTCGCATTCGTCCGCCTGCTTCTGAGCTCCGAGCAGAGAATCACCTTCAGAGAGCTAGCTCCAACCCAGGAAACTTTAAAAGTATAAAAGAAAGGATGTAAAAAAAATAGAGTATCTGAACTTTGAGGTCCTTGGATCCGATCAGTTTTTGCTGGCGAGACCTCTGCAGCTTTTTCTGTGTGTTGCGTAAAGGGCCTCCTGATTCCAAATGCGGTGCTGCAGATACCGCTGCCGCCTTGGAGGCAAAAGGAACTTTAGACTTTTGGAAAGTGTCAGAGGGGGAAATTCRAGATGCAAAATTGAGCACTTAGTGTTTGTGTTTTTTATTTAGCCCTACTGAGTCTTAAGGTTTGCCCCTGTGCTTTTGGTTTTTAATTGTTGTGCCTTTGAGTTAACTGCATTTGTTTTTTCCTTTTAGTGGAATACTGTGTGGTTTATGTCCTGCTCTGAACCGGTCCTTATTTGACCTTTGCACTGTTCATATGTGGTCCTCGCGCTCGTGGCAGCGTAGGAWAAAAGAACGTTGGGAAATGATGCACTATTGTCAGACTGACACAAGGGTAAATAGGGTGTTTTTTCCAAAACTCTCAGCAAGGGAGGTACCTTTTCCCGCTTGGAGCTCCGAGGCTGTGGCCGTGTCGGCATCTCCGGGTCCTCCCAACCCGGCCCCGGCTCCGCGGCTGCAGAAATAGTCGCGCTGTTGTGTTTCGCCAGCCTTTCTCTCGATTTCACTGATCCACCAGCATTAATAAGAAATAAGCTGCAGAAATAAAACTTTTGTAGATTGTTATAAAGGGGGAGCGAGGAGCCGCTCGCGTGCCCCGCGTTTACGCCTGATAGTTGCACAGATGTGTGTGAGTATAAAACACACCTCTCTTCCCCCTCCCTCCTCTTCTCTTCCTTGTTTTCGTTGTCCCCTCGTGGAGGGCAGGTCCCCGTGGAGGGCAGGTCCCCGAGGGCCGGTCCCCGAGGGCCATCCCAGCGATGGCTCTTGCCAGAGTGCCGAGCGTCCGACACGGCTCCCACGCGCGGAGCTGGACCCCGACCCGGCACCGCTGCCACTCGTGTTCTGCAGGGCCAGGGCCGGCGCGGGTTGTTGCCCCGAGGCCCAGGGCGCTTTGGGGGCGCCCGTGGCGTTGGGTGCATGGGGATCAGCGCGTTGGGGCCCAAATTCCRGGTGCTGCCCCTGCCCTGGGCGAATCCTGCTTGGGCCGAGCTGTGCGTTGGCTCCCCTGCACGGGGGTTTGGCGCTTGCTTTTGTTGCTGCTCCACCCGACGGTCACGTTTGAGTCCTCGTTCGCCCGCTGGTAGCAGCAGGTCTCGCTCGCAGGCTTTGCTGAGCCGCGAAGCTCGGSTGAGGGCCCTGTGAGCGGCAGCCGGGCGGTGGAGCAGCGTGAGGGAGGGCAGCGTGGCCTGGGTGCAGCACCGCTGTCACCGTGGTGCCAGCCGCAGCACCGCTGTCCTCGTGGCCGGGACCCCATCCAGCCCCATGGTGCTGCCTGCCCTTTGCTGGGAAGCTGGTGCATGACCTGGAACCGTCCGCCCCTCCCTCGGCCTGGGCTCCTTATCRGGTTTTATTTGTGCTTTCCTCTTTGCTTCCCGCTCGGCGCCGCGCTCGCCTGCCTTTGCGCCTGTCTTCCAGCAGCTGAACACGGACTGACCGGGGGAGCGGCGGAGGGGAGACCACGAATCCTGTGTCCAGTTCCTCRTGTAAATACCACATGATTTGAAATCCTGTGTCAAGACCATATAATGGTGCTTTTTATTACCGTTAGCACATGCATTTTTAGAAACGATGTGTTTTAGAAGACCTTGCTGTGTATATGTATACTTCTGTATTGTTCAACTGTTAGAAAATAAATTATTTCATTACTAAAGCGCAGCAGATGTTGCCTCCTGCGTGAGCGGCTCGTGGTTCAGAGCTCCAGGGCCACCTCCCCAAGCAGCGCCCAGGGTGAGCGGGGACCCTTGTTGGGACAAAGAGATGTTGGGCAGAGGCCCCGAGCAGCCTCAGGCCTTCCTCCCCCGAGGGCTCTGGCCAAAGTGTGTGTGGGAGAGACGGCCCTGGGGAACAAATCCATGGGGTTGCTGGAAGCCCAGGCCTCAGGGGCTGCAGGAGGTGCAACCTCTGCTTCTTGCTGCCCAGGCCCAGCCCCATCCTTCCCTGGGAGCCAGAGCACTCGTTGTGCTCCCCTGCACCCCGCTTCCCGTCTCCACTGCTATTCCCAGGGGATTGATGTCAGCTCCGGCAGGGCCTGGGGTCGGGCCCTGCTGTGGCCGCAGGGCCCGGGCCTTGTCCCAGGCTGCAGCTGAACGGGGCTCCCTGCCAAGCGCCTCGGCTGCCACAGGGAGGCTCCATCCGCCCGTCCCAGAGCCACCACCCTCCTCATGTACCTATCAATCTGCGCTCTGTCTTCCTCTTCCATCCTCCTCCTCCTCCTCTTGGACTACTCCCATCCCACCCCTGCACGCAGCCCCCTCCCTCCTTCCCGACCACTTTCCATGGGAGCCGCTTGTGCCCAGACCAGAGGCTGAGGGAGCCGGCCCTGCCCYGTAGTGGAGGCCTGAGGCCAGAGGAGGGCAGAGCAGAACCACCCTGCGGACACAGGGCCCGGGAGGTGCATGGAAGGGGTCCCCCCCGCACCCCCGGCTCCAGGGGTGCCAGTGCGGGGCCGGAGCAGGACATGGGGCGGCCRGAGCAGGGCACAGTGAGGCCGGAGCCGGCGGCTGAGGTAGCGGCTTTATTGCTCTGCACGGGGCGCCGCTGCGCGAACCTGCCCGCGGCTCCTGTCCCTGCCAGGGTGCGGGGCCGGGGCAGCCCCTGCGGGCGGCCGGGCTGTCCCCGAGGGCCGGGACGGGCCCGCGGGCGCCCCGGGGGCCTCAGCAGCGGCGCCGGGCGCTGCCGCGACGCCCGCGGGCACCTCAGGGGAAGGTGATGGCAGCGAGCGGCGGCAGCTCGAGCGGCGGCTCCAGCGGCGCCTCCTGGAAGGCGGGCGGCTGCCGCCCGCCGTGGTGCCCGTACTCGAACCTGATGCGCAGCTCCCCGATGCGCGACTGAGGTAGGATGTCGGGGATCCACTCGATGACGAACGGCGTGGGCTCCTTCTGCGTGGGGGACGTGTTGCCTGCGCGTGCGGAGCGGGGTCAGGGCAGCGCGGGGACTGCCCCCGGGCTGGGACACCCTGGATTTGGGGGTTCCTCCTCCTGCCTCCTGTGACAGGACCTTGTCTRCTGCGGGGCAGGCCGTGCTGGGGGCTCCCTGCATGGGGGGAGCCCCAGCCCCTGTGCGGGTGCAGGGTTTCCCTCCAAGAGGAGTCTCTCTTTCGGGGGGGGCTCCCCTTTGTGTAGGGGAGGCCCAGCCCTGCTGGGGCTCAGCTCAGCTCTTTCTCTCCACTTTTCCTAGGTCCAGGCTGCCCCCTGGCCGAAGCTCCCGCCCCCAGGCTGGCCGGGAGCCCCTCGGCAGCCCCGTCCCCACTCACCCACTTTGAGGAAGGTCTTCAGCTCCAGGGGCCGGATGGCCGGCTGCTTCTCCAGGCGCCCGTACGTCTCGGCGATGTTCTCCACCTCCACCTTGGGGCACTTGAACAGCTCGTACGTCCCGTCCCGGTTCTGGATGAAGCTCCGGGTGATTTCCAGAGGCATCTGCCAGCAGCAAGAGGAGGCAGGGGATGAGGAGCTCAGCGCCTGGGCACAGCCGGAGCCCTGCGCTGCAGCACCGGCTCCCCCAAGGGCTGGTAAGGCCCACGGGTTACGCGGCAGCCCCACGGGTGCAGCGCGGCAGGGGCTCCCTGCCGGCCCTACCTCGGGCGTATCGAAGATCTGCTTGACCTGCAGGATGTTGGTGATGTGCCACGTGTACTTGGAGAAGGTGCCCAAGGGAAGGGCGTCCTTGCGGACAAAAGCTGGGGGAAAAAGAAACCCAGGKTAGTGGCCGTGGGGCAGTCAGTGCCGCTCTGCCCAGAGCTGCCGTGAGGGAGGTTTGTCAAGGGCCTCGCTCTTCTTTCCTTCCCCTTCCTTTTTTCTCTGCTTCAGCCGCAGGCTTGAGCTGCTGGGAGCTTCTCCTCTACGGCTGGAGCATCCAGTACAGCAAATCCTTCCTACAACCTTCTCCTTGGCCTCTGCTGGCTCAGGAACCTGGAGCTACCTGGAGCCCAGGGCACTCAGTGGGCCAGTGCCAGGGCTCCTGACGCGCTAGTGACTGGGCTGCTGCTCCCGTCTCTCCTGTGCTGCCCCGTGCCGCTCTCAGGGCTTGTGCTTTGCTCTGAAGACTTGCCGTACGCAGCAAGCAGACTGGGAGGCTTCAGTCTGAAGCACGAGGCACCTTGCTGGGTCAAGGGCTGTGCTCTGGCCAAAGAGCAGCCTCAGGCAGCTCGGGGCTACAGCAAACCCGCGACCCTGCACTGCCTCCTGCAGCAACCAGCACTGTCCCCGGAGCCCACAAACCCCGGCAGGCCACAGCACCAACCCCCACTTCCATGAGAATTTAGGCTGGAGCCGTTGGAGCCCGCCAGCACACAGCGGCGGCCGCGTGTCCTTCATTCAGCAGCACCCACCCCCAAGGCCATTCCTACAGCCCACTGCCCTCTCCGAGCTATTTCTCCATGCAGACAGTGTGTGAAACAGGAGGCAGCTGGTTCGTTTTTGTCTCTCTTGCCCGTTCTCTCCCCCAGGAGCACCCCGCAGCACCCCGCTCTCCAGCAGCTCGGCGCCAGCCTACCTGTGGTGGAGTTGGGCAGCCTCTTCTTGGTGCTCCCCATGGAGATGCGCTGCTGCAGGGCGTCGAAGAAAGCCTGCGGGATGTGGAACACCAGCGGCTCCGGCTTGCCTGGGAGGCCACACACAAGAGGCTGCGCTCAGCACGCAGCTCCTGCCGCTCTTACCCTTGACCACCCCGGGCAGTGGCCCCAGCGCGGCCAGGCTGAGCTTAGCCCCGAGGGGGGACTGGGAATCCTGCAGACCTTAAGCACAGGGAGCTGCTGCTGAGCCACGCGTCCCTTGGGGCTGCTCTACGTGTCTACAAGTGAGCAGAGGACTGAGGCTGCTGCATCGCCACCAGCAGCAGGTTTAGCTTCGCTTTAAAAGCATCATTGCACAAGAAAACTGATGTGTGTCTGGAAAAGTCTTAGAAAGCCTAAAATGAGGYACTCCTTCCCTCTCTCCCTCGCTTTCCAGCATCTCTGTCCTTGTATGAAGGGGAGGCCGGCTGAGCTGCGGCACTAGCAACAGCCTCTCAGCTGCTGCTGGGAGCACTAGGCCCCCCCAGGTACATCCCAGGAGAGGACGAGCAATGAAATGACAAAATCTGCCTCCACGCAGGCAATGTCCAGGGTGTTTTAAAAATTAATTACTCATAGGTCTTGTTAAAGCTGGTTTCCGCAGCTACAGCCAGGTGGCGGGACCCRCAGGTGTCACGGGAGGATCTTGTTATGTCAGGATCAAAACAGCTTACATCACACTTAAATTGCAGCTACTTCTTTATAAGTACACTAAAAGAAGCACAACTCGACAGGTGTCCAGACTCCTGGCTTCTTATCTCAACACGGTACCTTTTCTTTAACTACTTTATCTTCTTCCAGTGCCCTTGTGGCCTCGGTGCACCACACTKGTTATTTTTTATTGCCATGCTTCCATTCCCCGTGCAAGGACCTGTGCCTTGGCACCACCGTGGCACTGTTTGCTAAGGGCTACCATCCAACTTCCAGCCTTGGGCTAACTAACACTTCTCTAACCCAGTAACTCGGCAATAACCAAGCAAGACAATGATTAAACACTCGTCTCCGCATCGCTGCCACTCGCCCTGCACGAAGCCAAGCAGCGCAGGGGACCTGAACTCCTCCAGGTTTTCCATGTGGAAGACAGCACCTTGTGAGGTGTCTCACCTCAACTCACCTCTCCTGTTCTGCTTTGGGCACTTTCTTCGAGTATAAATAAGCTCTAAGGGAGTTTCTCCCTTCTCCAAGCATAAACATTGGCACTAGGTTTATGATAAGAGCTAAGCCTAAGCTTAGGGAACGAATCAAAGCTGACAGAAAGTTCCTAGGGTGCATTAATAACTATTAATTATTCTTACCAAGGTAAGCGCATGCTTCTCTTTGGATTAACAGTTATTTAATGCTACCAAGAGCTTGTCTGTTAACTACTGAGGTTGCATGAGGAAGGAAATGGTGCCTGAGGAAGGGGGTCCCCACAAAGCCTTACCCTCAAACTGGTAATGCATGGTTTGGTGGATCCGCTCGGTGACGCTGGCCAGCCATTCCTGGAAGGACAGGGTCACCTGCGACTCATCCAGCAGCTGATGACAGCCTAAAAGGAAAAGGAAGCTGACAGCAGAACCGCATCTCACACAAGCGAGGAGCAAAGACACAAAGGAAAAAGTAACTCGGACAATCCCAATCCAGACCTGCTGCCCCACTGGCAGAGGCAGGGGGTCTGGGTAAGTGCCTGTACGTAGCCAAGTATTGCCCATTTTACATTCACTGCTTTCTCTGTGTGGAGACATGATGGCCCCTCTAAAACTGCAGCATTACAAAAGAACATTTCTGTCCCCCTAATGGATTAGAAATGACTTCATTAGGCACTTCAGATCCTAGACTCAGAAATGCAGAGCTATTTTAAAGGTGGAAGTCCGTGGGGATCCATYGGCACAAACCAAACTCCACCACGATCTCGGCCACAGCTACAGTGCTGGCGCCACGACACAATAAGCACTCTGTTTATTAGGGAGCACTGTCACAGAAAGCTGCTGTGGCCCTTGCGGGTGCTCAGAAGCCCGAAGAGGCCCCCGAAGCTCCCCGGGGGGCGCAGACGTTCCCAGGAGCAAGGCGTGCGCTCGCACTCCACACGGACGCCCTCGGAGCAGCACGCACACGCTCGGCAGCACACACCCCCTCCGCTCACAACAGCTATTATATTATATTATATTATATTATATTATATTATATTATATTATATTATATGCACGCACTTGAAAGGCTCCTCGGACAGCCGGTTCCCTGGCTTGACACCCCATTTACCTCCGGCACATTCCCCACGGCCCTCGCACAGAGCCCATCTCAATATGTGTTTGCTGCTATGAAATACATCCCTGATAATCYACCCAGGATGTGTCTCCCCCAGTAGTGTCATACGTTAAGGATATTTCAGATGCTGAGAGTGCCAGAGGAGCAACAGTCTAGTTTACCACTGTGCCCCATCTGAGTCACCTAGTCAGTTTTGTGTAGGGAGATATGTAATTGCCTTAGGTTACTGTCATTTTAAGAGCTGCCGGCCAGCCTGCCCACGACAGCAACGTCCCCAASGGCCCGGGCAGGGCGGCGAGGGCGGGCAGCGACGGCGGGCCCTACCTGGCCTCCTCAGCGACGCCACCACGGCCGGCTTCCTCAGGCTGCTTCTCCTCAGGCTGCTGTTGGCCTCCGGAGCCAGGAGAGGGCTGCTGCCCCGCGCACCTGGGGCCCGAGGGAGCCGGCTGCAGCGCCCCCGCAGCCCGCGAGCCCCCCGCGACGCCCCTCGCTCCGGCTTCGCCCGCCCCTCCGTGCCAGGGCGGCAGCGAGAGGCTTTGCAATGACCGTGCCGCCACGACCACCCCCGGAACGACCACGCAAGCACCCAGGCGGGCAGCCCCGCAGCAGGAGGGCACACGGCGTGGGGTGGCTCACACGGAGCCCCCCAACCGCGAGCGCCGCGGGCTCCTTTCCCCGGGAACACTCACCGGACGTGCCGTCCTTCTTCCTCCTCTTGGCCCTGGGGGCGGCAGCGTGGGCCGGCGGGGCGGGCGCCGGGGGGCCGCAGACCGGCTGCGGCGCGGCGGGGCCGCGCACACCTGCGGAGAGCTCCGTGAGGGCTGCAGAGCGGCCGCGCCGCGGGCGGGCGCCTCCCGCACGGGGACCCGCGCGCGGGGAAACCGCGGCTTCACTCAGCTCTGCTTCCCGGCGCCGCAGCGCTCTGAGCTGCCCTGCTCTGAGCCACTGCGCACAAACAGCACAACTGAACAGAAMGCAAGGCGGGAAACCAGACCTGCCAGGCAGCGACCAGCTTGGAGGATGTTTGGACACAACCAAAGGGACATGGGGCACGAGGAGGCACCGGAGCAGGGGCATTCGGCACCCGAATCCAAAGAGCCACATTGAGGCCCTAGTGAGGCTCAACGCTTGGGCCTCTAGGAAGGGCCCAGAGGTCCCTTCCAAGCTCAACCATTCCGTGACCCTGCGGTTATCCGGGGGCACCGATGGGGACACCCACCTCGGCCCCGCTGCCCAGCTTGCAAGGAGCCCGGGCAGCTTCAGCAGGACAGGGGGGGTCTCCTGGGCGCTCGTGGCCTCCCCACGCGCTGGGGACACCCCCGCGGGCACCTACCGCCCGCGTCGCCGCCGAGGAAGTCGGCGAACTCCTGGGCCAGGGCATCGTCGCTGGCGAAGGCGCAGACGCAGGCGAGGAAGTGGATGCAGCGCGGCGGCGCCTCGGCCTTGCCGGCGCCGGCCTTGCCCGCGCGCAGCGCCTGGCACGAGCACGAGAAGCGCTGCTCGCCCGCGCCGCGCGCGCCCGCCCGCGGCGCGAAGGACGCGTGCAGGTAGCCCAGGCTGTGCTTCGGGCTGGCCTTGCACTTCACCACCAGCACGCTCTTGGTGATGCGCTGCACCAGCGGCCCCGTGGGCTCCGCGGCCAGCTGCCACAGCGTCTGCTTGGTCTCGGCGGGCGCCTGCACGGCGCTCAGCACCGAGTTCTTGAGCGCCAGCGGCGTGGCCTCGGTCTGGCAGCTGAGGGCCAGCTTCACGTGCTGGCACTGGCTCTCCACCACGCCTTGCGCGGCCGCCTTGAGGCACGCGGGCACGTGGCAGCGGCCCGAGCTGAGCTGCGTGATGAGGGTGCCCTCCGCCGTCTGGATGGCCGTCTCCGAGACGCCCAGCTCCACGAAGCAGCGGTAATCCGGGCCGCGCTCCCGCTGCCGCACCGAGTAGAGCTGCAGGCCGGAGCCGGTGACGATCCTGACGGCGTCGACGGCGGGCTGCTTGCGGGCGCCGTAGCGGAACACGGCGCCGCACGTCTTGTTCTTGCAGCTGAGGCCCCGCGTGCCGTTGTAGGTGCCGCAGCGCGGGCACTTCCGGATGCCCCGCAGCGTGGCCTTGCCCAGGTCCGAGAGGAAGGCCGGGGCCTTGGCGCGCGCCGCGCCGGGCTCCATCGTCCGGGCGGCCTGTGGCGGGGACACGGGCATGCGGAGGGCGTGGGGGCGCGCATGGCGGCCGGGCGCTGCCTGCGGACGCGGTGCCGGCGGGGCCGCCCGCAGCGACAGCCGCCGCAGCGCCGCTGAGGACGGGCGCTCCCGAGCCCGCCCCGCCGCCCCGGCCCCTTCTCCCTCCTCGCGGCCCTCGACGCTCGCGCCGCGCTCGCCGTGACGCCACGGCCGCGTGACGTCACGCCCCGCCGGCGCGGGAAGGCGGCCGCTTCCTCCCTCACCACCCCGCGCCGTGACGTCACTTCCCCCCCCGCCGCGCTTGCGCTCCCCTCGCCGCCCCCGCCCTCACCTGGGGCCGCGCGCGCCCCCCGCTCCGGCCCGGGCCCCCCGCGCGGGCGCTCAGCTCGCGGCCTCCGCCATGGCGCCTTACAAAACACCGCCRGCCCCGGCTGTAACGGCGGCGCCTATTGGGCCGCCGAACGTCACGTGCTGCCGCCCGGTGCCTTCYGGGGACGGTAGTTCTCGGGCGGAGGCGGCGCGCATGCGCACTGCCCTGCTCCCCCCGCCCCCTTTCCTTTCTAATTTACCAAAACAGGTCAGATTGCAGCCTTTTCCTCAAAATAGGCCCGGGGGGGGGAAGAGCGAGAGAGGGAAGAGGGTGAAAACAAAAGAAAGCACACACGCCGGTGGAGTTGATTTGAATTTTTTTTTTTTTTTTTTGCTTTTTGAGGGCTGGTCAAGAGGTAGGAGAGAGAGGTTATTTTTATTTTGTTTGTTCTTGTTTTGGGCCCGAGACTTGGCCCAGCCCAGGGCGACACACACAGAGGGCTCCCGCGGCCACAGCATGACCCGTGCATTCCCGCTGCCCGCCTCCCCCCGACAGCGCCCAGGGCTGGCGCGGCTGCGGACAGTCACGTCAAAACAAGAGAGGCTGAGCTCGTATCCAAAACTAACAAGAGCGTATATTTGATACCCACATGCAAAAAAAAAAAAAAAAAAAAAAAAAAAAAAAANAAAAAAAAAAAAAAAAAAAAAAAAAAAAAAAAAAAAAAAGGGTTTTTTTTTTTCCAAATCTTATGCATAATTCATGTCCAAGGACGCTGCATCCTACCTTTAAATAAGGAAACATACAAAGTTGGCTAATGTTTGTGCAAAATAGTAATTTGCTAAAATATTTTACATAATCGGTACACGTAAATGTAGAAATTGATAAGATAAAAAACAAGCTGGTTTGTAGGTATTTGTCACATTTTAGTAAGAGTCGTAACATGACTTTTTTTTTTTTTTATATTTCCCAGTACACATCACAAAGTTTTTCACCAAAGATAAAAATCCTTTAGAAAGAGTCCAACAGGGATTTCTCTAGGCACCTTCTCACATAAAACACAATGTGAATAAAATTAGCTCCATCTGAGTGTTTTTGCAGACAATTCAGCGCTGAGGACCGCGCTTCCTCGTTTCACGACAGTTTAGGTAACTGGCATAAGGCAAAGACCACTCTGAAAAAATGTTTCAATACAAAAATGATGTAAACTAATAATTTATAGTTGAAAACCCGGTATAACAAAAGCAGAGGGATGGACACTTTATACAATAGGCTATTTTAAAACAGACTTGTGCAAAGGCCGAAGACAAAGCATCTTCAGAATTCACACGCTTTTGGCTTTTTCTTTTTTTTTTTTTTTTTTTTGTACAACTGCTTATAATACATTTTAAATCATTGGGAATGCAAACTAAAACTGCCCACTACTTCAGAGGAAAAAAAGGTTTGACATTGTGCAATTTTCTGCCCCAATCTTAAGTGGCAGTAGTCCCTGCATTTGCTGTGTTTCAAACGTGGATCTTAAGAAACACATATCAAAAGGAGGAAAAGAAGGCAAAAGTTGGCAGACATCCAGCATCTAGGTTTTTTTTTTGTGTGTGTGTGTGTGTGTATGTGTATTTTTCTTTTTTTTTTTTTAAACAATGTGGATGACAGTTTCATGATTAAAAACGCTTTTTTTTCCCCATGTTTTTTTCTTAAATAAATACATTGTATCTGACACACTGACTTGATCGGGTGATTCTGTTCAGTAAACAGAGGCTTGACAACCCTCCTCGCAGCCTCAAGCCCACCAGTGTTTGGTTTCCGAGTCCTTTTCTCACTGCGTTTCGAAGCCCGCCATGCGATATCCAGTTTGATTAGTTATCACGCTCCCGTTCTGCCCCTGAGGCGGTGGAACACTGTAGTTTGCTCCCATCCATGCTGCTGAAGACTGTGTCTGGCTGTTTGGGGGCAGCGGGGTGGAGGGAAATATTTGAGATCAGAAATCAAGACTGCAGGCCGCAACCAGTTTTTAAGGGTATGATATTTGGCTAAGCAGTGAGACACACAATGATGCTGGTGGGAGGAAATKATCTCCGTGTTGGCCGTGGTGTACCAGAAAAGGCAGATCAATGAGCTCTGCTGCCAGCAGGCCTCCCAGCTGGAGCTGGTTCACTGTAGCTTAGAAACCAACACATGACTGTAAAAATCTATACTCACTGCTTGCACTTGAATTGCATTTAATATCCACTGCTCAGGAGCGGGACAATGTTAGGCTGACTGGCATCAGATAAGAGCATCCGACTCAAAGAATTTTATASAAGCTGCACAATTTCAGCAAATTCTGAATTTGAACAGAACAAAATGCAGCTCTTGAAGTTCAAGAAAATTTCAGAAGAAGCAGTAACATGACTGGAAAACGGAAAATTAAACACTGCTCTCTGAGGGTAGATCTTTGAAGAAAGCAATATCCTTCTCTATGTCCCTGAACACATCTAACTGCAGGTATCCTTACTCCATCTCTATGAACGACAAAAGAGCAGAACTTTATGATAGCCTTTGTGTTGCTGCGGACTTGGAATTTTCATCTACCCCTTAGGAAAACTCCATCACCTGAAATTTCATTCATGGCATTAAAGCAAATACTCACTTAAATCCTTGTTGATTCCATGCCTGCCCATACATTCCATATGCAGGGACTTGCCAGCCATTGGGCATGTACTGGCCGATCTGCGCATTTCCATACCACTGACCCCACTGCCCGTAAGCTTGGGGATATCCGATTTGATTCTGCAAGGACAAACAGTCAGGTGTCAAGCAGTGCCTAAGAAAGCAGATAATTACATCAACTCAGCATGCACCCAGCTCGCAGTCTGTCTCCAATGAAGAACCTACAAGATGGCTTGCCAAAATAACAGTGAAACACATTTAATTGCACACTGATTTTCATTTAGCAAGTTTTGGATTATTCTTTAGAGAAAAACACATTGCTGAAGGAAGAGTTAATCTAAAGGCAAGGACTTCCCAGCCAATGAACACGTTTTACTGAAAGACAGTAACTTTAATCCATCGTCTTTGAGGTTAGCATAGGAATAATTCTGACCTGCTGGACTGGACTGATCATGTCTGGTGTTTCCTTGCCCCAGTAGCACTTCACTATGTGGCCTTCTATAGTTGTGCCATTGACGGAAACAATTGCATGTGCAGCGCTCTCATGGGAATTAAATCTGTTGAAATACAAGTCATGTCGACATTAAAAATAATTCAAGGAGCATGGCTACAAGTAACCCTAAGAAAGCATATCAACATGCTACCCTCTGTAGATCACCACACAACAACCTACCGTACAAAGGAGTATCCTTTATCTGGGAAGACACGGATTTCCATTATCTGCCCAAACGGAGAAAAGGTCTGGCGCATTAGCTGTTCTGAAGCAAGAAGAGGTAAGTCGCCAAAATTAGACGATTGCAGTGTTTTCCTGAGACATTCAAGTGTCAACGTTTTGAAGACACCGTACCTGTCAGTCCCGAGGTAACACCTCCACAGTACACAGTGCAGTTGCTTGGACTGGACTGATTGACCACATCATCGTAAGACAGTTGTTTGGTATTTGCTGAAAGGAAATTTTAAAAGCTTTTAAGTCGAGCAGAAACGCTTTATGCAGAAATCTGAATCCCATCCAACAGGCCTACAATAAGGAGTGAGGTTGCCAGAGTCTATGACAAACACTAGCTGTAGTAAATATTTTGTCCTGTCTATACTGGACGTGGTCACCTCCCTCACCACAGGCAGTGGGGAATTAACATCAGAAACAGACACTGTCTCTCGACTGTTGCTGTGTTAGAAGCAGAGCTGCCAGCTCCTGTTAAACATTAGCTCCTGTTAAACACTAGCTCATACGAGGCATGTGAGCACAAACTGCAAACACCACARAAACAAAAGCAAAGAGGAGGACAGGCCCACAGCATGTGATCTCCAGGGGTGGCCACAAACTCCCATTACAGGACAGGCTGCTTGTGCAGGGGCACTACCATTATTTAAGGTCAGGTTTTAGACTTATCTAGCAGCTTGGATATACCTGAATTAAAACCGCTCTAATGGAAATGCTTTCTTTACATACCATTCTGCCTGGTTTCTATCCCAAGTGGTAAGCGTGTGCTAACATTTTTTTTAATGATAGGAAAAAAAATTCCTGGCTAACTTTGGCAGGAGGGACGAAAAAGGGGGTTACCAAAATAAGTGTTTAGAAGAAGAAAACAAACAAAAACAAATGTTGGTGGTAGCAACACATCCCTTACACTTAACAGAAGTTTCAGGAGTTCTGAAACTATCCAAGATTCTTCACTGTTGAACACCCAACCTTCCCTTCTCCCAGATCTCTAATGATTTGAGCTAGTGATTTTCTCTTGCTTCCTCTGTCCTTGGCAGGAGGTTACGAAAGACACAGAACCGAGAAACTTACTTTCGTAAGTACTCTTTGGAGCTGGAGGTTTTCTTGTTGCCCAGTTTGTTCTGATTTGTCTTCCACCAAGCCACTGACCACCCATCTGCTGAATAGCGTTTTCTGCATCCTGTCCACAAGAGAGGGAAAGGGGGAAAAAAAAAGTGCCACTGTCAGCACCTCTTCCTCAGGCTGGTACAGTTAGAGACTGGAAACACTCATGCCACGTGGCAGCTGCTCAAAACCCTCAGTCACTTTTCAGAGCAACCCCAGGCAGTGCTGCAGCTTACCCATTTATTGAAGAAGGAAACAAAGCCGTATCCCTTAGACTTGCCCGTTGCCATATCCTTAACCACTCGTGCATCTCTAAAAAGGAGAAACAATAGCCAACTTAGCAACTTAAAAAGACTTCAATAAATAAGATGAAAATTTGAGTCACACAGCTTATTTTTCATGTTTCACCTTTACTAAAGCAAACTGTTTATTGTTGCAGCAACATAGTCAAAGCAAATATCTTCTTTTCTAAACAGAACTTTACTAGTGTTTTGTCAGGTAATAGCAAAATTAAACTTAATTTTGTAAACATGCAAATCAATAGCACTTCTCTAACAAACTTATGCACTTACAACAGTTGGCTCCCAGTTCAAAATGCTTTTACATATTATTAAGACACTAAGCATGGTCAAAGCAGCTATTCAAAAGCATCACTTAGGCCGCGTAGCTGACTAACATTAGCTGAATGGCTTTCTTTAACCATGCAGTTTTTAAACTTGCTATTTGCTAACACATTCTACCTACTCTTTAAAAATATTAAATAGAAAAAAATGAAAAAAAGATAGGAATTAAAAGGCATACGTCGCCTGTTAACTGAATTCTTTAATTTTCTCAGGTCAATTCGTTACCCCCTTTTTGGACTGTGGGCAGCTGTAAATTTTGAGAAATTGACATTTTCAGAAATTATTGAAGAAAATAAAACACCAAAACATTTATTTTTTAAACTATATATTACAAAGAATTTAAACTGCAATTGTAAAACAGCAATCAAACAGGACTGATTGGAAACTACAAGATATGAAAAAGCAAAAAAAGAAAAAAAAAAGAAATAAGAAAACTACAACGTTTGTCCACTGTGAACTGTAGCTTGTAGTTAGCCATGGCAATTCTGTCCATTCTTCAGAGACACTCTGCAAAATAACCAGAGCCCTATTATTTGAGATTGAGTTAAAAAGAGAATCCAGCTACAATAGCTAAACCCCACTTGCGGAAAGTCAATCAACAGTTTCTCAGGCAATTTGCACACAAGTTAGCCAAGGATCGAGACGCTCTCCCATAAAGGCCACCCTCTCCTCCCCTCCTTTGCCCCACACATACAAGCATTTTAATAAAATAAAGGAAAAGAAAACCAGTCAGAAAGTCATGCAACATAACTTACGTCCGTATAAAATAACACCGTTCAGAGAAACTAGCGTAACATGTGCACAACATTTAGCATTCCAAGACTGGCAAGAAAAAGTCACAATGAAGAGCACGTTTTTATACACTAATTTTTAAAGCCTTACAGTAACTACTAGTACTATATTATAAGCCTAATTCCTGTACGTATAGGCCCATAACACTTGCATCACTACTCAAATGCCCAAGTTAAAAGAAAAAAAAAGAAAAAAAGAAAGGAGCAGTCATACTGTTAACTTGGTGTAAAGAAATGCTACACTTTTTCCTCCTGTCTGGGTAAGCAACGTGTTACAAATTGCCTGAGAAGTGCCACTTTGGTACCCTTAGAAGATCACTTTGCTCTGAACAGCCTAAAGAGGGAGGGGAGAGAAACTCATCTATACTTACCCTCAACTGAAAACTTTGAAAGTAAGACTTGAGAACAAGTAAAAACATGCGTACAGCAAGCATAAAAGGAAATCACAATGAGAGGGTGCTTTTACAGGGATTAAAAAAATCAGATGCAAAGAATTACCAAAATTTCCTATGTGCTAATCATGCAGTAGTTCAACCTTGAGTTCATTAAAAAAAAACACACACACACAAAACACAAAAAAACTCAGCTTAATACCAAAGAAGGCTATAGTAAAAACAATTTTAAAAAGTAATCAGGAGATATTCCATTAACATTCCATTCCATTTCCAGAAACCAGTCAATCAATGGATGAAGAACAGTTAAACTCAAGAACTTCATTCTACCTCTTAATAGCAGCAGTATGTTATACCTGTTTAAATTGACCCAGAAAAAAAATCAAGGTCCTTGGCTGCATTAACCCCTCAGATTTGGAACAAGAGCTTGTAAGAGTGTAACAGGGAGAATTCTGAAATCTACTACTTTCATGGGATGAAGACAAGAGCATTTCATTTTGGGTGGTAGGTTTAAGGCAAACTACTCAAGTTTTCAATCTGTTGAGTCTCCAGCTGTGCGCCGAGCAGGAGTGTTATTCACACGCTGTCACCACGAGGGAAGAGACATGTCCCTTTTTGTCCCTTTTTGCAGAGCCGGGTGATCGGACCCGTTACTGCACGGCAACAGCTTTACATCCAAAAAGCTCTTCCAGAACAAGTGTGGCAATGGGCAGAGGCCCAAGAAATATAAACTGCGCTCCAGTGTTAGCATTATTTTATACTTGGCCCAACTAATATTCAGAAGTTATTTTGCTTCAGGTTCAGCCGAGATTTGTTGTGCAGGATTATCTGCTTAAGAGACAGTTTCTTTAATGTCACATTGGAAACTAAAAACTGGCTAGTTCAGGGGAAATTCTCTTTCAAAGCTCTATCACACATCARCACGTTAAGCTACTACTAGCTCCCTTCCACACTCACGCCCGCAGCCATGTGCTAGTCAGGAGCTCCTTTAGAGTCCCTCGTCCCTTCCTTCCAAGCCACATTTGGCCATGACTCTCCTCTTGAGTCTACATTCCCAAGGTATTAATTACAAAGATGGAGTCAAGCATTATACTTCTCTGAAGCAAGTCACATTCAGATCATATTATATATATATATATAACTTTATCATAAGAGGAAAACAAGCTGTCATTGAAAGAATAATATACTGGACTCTGAGGGAAAAAAACAAAAAACAAACTTACTTCAATTAAATGCTTCACTACACAACACTCCAAAGCACTCTACGTTCTCTTACATCACCATCAAGAAACTTCAATGTCCAGTACAGACAACACTACAAGGAAAATTAATGGTTTACATTTGGAGGATGGAATGAACGAACCACTCCTTACTCTGCTACATCCTGACTACACCGCGCTGGCGGACGCCTGTAGTCACCACTCCCCATCTGTAACACGCTCACTTGTTGCTCTCTTGCTCTACGCTACTGCTGGGTGCAGCTGTTTTGCCCAAGATGCCCCATGTTTTAGGCTGAGCCCCTGAGGTCAAGGGCTTCTGCTTAGGCAGTGCCAGTGCTCGGAGGCCACTCCGGCTGCAGCCTTCAAGTGCTGCACCAAGTCCAGTGCTGAAAGCTTTACTTGGGGAATGTCATTTAATTGCAAAAAAACATATGCTACCAGTGGCTTGCACACCATAGCTAACAAAAATCCAAACTCTGACGAGACGTGGACATGCAAGCGGACTCTGTCACAAACTAAAACGAGTGATGTTTGTCTGACCACTGAGAGGGCAAATAAAATACAAAACTCAAGTCATTTTTTTCCAGTGTTACTTTACCAAACAATGCAAAGAGAATAAAACCAAAGTAAGTTGTAGGCAACTTTTTTAGTAAAGAAGAAATCTGTTCATGTGTCCCTGGCTTATTACCCAGCCATTCAGACTCAAGTCGTTGTATGAATAGATGAACATTTATTTCTGCTCTGTGACAACTTTCATTTTTTACTTACTGAAATACAAGGCTGTCTCCACTTAAGAAATAACTTTTAGTTTATTTGTCCTATGAGAATTACTTACGATATTCTTCCAAATGGCGCAAAAGCTGCTTTTATATCTTCAGTTGTAATTTCAGGACTGAGGTCTCCAACAAAGACATGGAAATGGTCTTATTGGGAAAAACAGAGAAAAAAAAAAAGATTTTAAAGTTTGAAGACCACTCTTGAAAACATAAACAACACAACAATGTCACGCAGCATGGCTTTCCATTTATTAAAACTACATGAAGACTAGAGTTCACTATGGACTATAGACTCTACTGCTGTCCGCAACAGATCCACTCCTTGGCAGCACTACAAAGTCAGTATTTTTAAGGGTAGTACTGTGCTATACGATATTTACATTTTGTATTTTATAAACTGCTTTTAAGACCAGTCAGCATTTACCAGAAAGTTGTGAAATATTTACTTAATATGACAAGATTACATGAAAATCTGACTCTTGGTATGCTMGTGTTAGACTTGCATACAGTACAGTTCACTAGCTAGGCAAAACTTTATCAACTGAAATGTCTAGCAGTTTCAAGAAACGCAGAATAAAACTCACTCTAGAGCAGGATGTATTTTCAACCTAGCTACAATGTCGTGTTTAAAACCATATTTTGTGAAGAACAAATCAAAAAAATACCTTGCATTGCAACAGTTTGCTGTTAAAGAATTTGAGTTCTCAAAAGCCAACAGTTTTGGTTGCCCAGCCATTACACCATGTGAATCCATGTGAATTCAATGTGTGTGAATCCGTGTGCAAGTGAACTAAGACTGAAGGCAACAGAACGGAAACAGTAATCCCTTCAACTTATATCAGATCCATCAAGAAAAAAAGAAAAAAGAAAAAAAAGCAGGCACTGAAGAGAAATAAAACCCTGAGGACTTTTCCACTATGATCAAACAATATTTCACATATCATCTTATCAATATACAGGCTTATTTGTACTACAGCAGATAAGAAACGTTAAAGTCCACTTTGATGCTAATGTAGTTTAACCCCACCTCTCTAAAGGACTTCAAAGCTTGCTTCGAAAAGCAGCAACACACAGCGTGGCCGTGAAACGGGAACAAAGTAGCCGGCTGTGGAGAAAACTCAGATTCTCCCAAGGAGCCTGTATGAAGCAGCGCATACATCAGCCTTGAAAGAAGTTAATAATTACGCCCTTATAGCGGGGTGGGGAATTACATTTGCAGTCGTAACAAAGAGCTGGAGATCAGCACCAGAATTAAATAGTGGACAACGGATCATATTCTGATGCAACAAGGAAATGAAAGGGAAGTCTTTCCATAAAAACAAACAAAAAAGGAACAAAAACCCCATATACAGCTTCAGGTGGTTAGTGAATACCCTCGAGAGATTTCATTTTATGTTTAAGAAGATACAATTACCTTGTGAACGCAGTGTGTTGACAACGGTACTACCTGATGACAAAGATTAGATTTGTTCTTAAGTTTATTAACACAAACACATTAAATAATATCTTAGGATTACGATCAAAACATTACTGCATATAATTGCACGATGCTTACTATTTATGTTTAAAAACTACTTGTACAAATAAAATAGTTTCTCAAAGCATAAGTGACACTTACTGCTGGTATCTTTCTTCTGGCTGCTGGGGGTTGTTGCCCAGTTCACTTTGACCTCCTGTAAATATTAGTTGCTGATGTTAGATCAAGCACATGGGAACTAAACTCAGACATTTCCRGCACCTAATTCTGACTCTACTGGGTAGCCAGCTGTGAAAGTTTGGGCTGAAAGCTAGAGTGGAAGTTAAGCTTCTCAGCAGAGGGTTCACTCCTCCACTCCTTAACTCTTCATTAAAATCAAAGATGGTGAACATACCTTGTCTGGRTATTTTGGCTAGTTTGTTGGGCTTTTGTTTGTTTGTTACTTGTAGGGATAGGGAAAAGAGGAGTGTTATTCTGATGGGGCAGGAAAGTTAAAGTTATTCCTTACTGTCATTACCTCTGCTCCCTCCCCAGTTCTGCATCCCAACCTTCCTCTGCACTCTTCCTACAACAATAAAAGTGCCCTTTCCCATTAGTCCTGGCACAGTAAGAGCTCCACTAAACAAAGGGTCTAACATTTGCAATGTTTCTCATCTCTTCTCGAGTGATATTTCATCCACACCACCTGGTGTAACCTGTGGTTTTCCACTGCAACTCACYCTGTAGACATGACAGCTTACCTTACCCATTATCTTCCGGCCATTCATAGCAGCTAGTGCTGCAGCTGCATGACGATGCTCAAAGAACTCCACAAAACAATATGGATCATTTCCAGCTGTCTGATTAAAAAAAGGAAAAAAAAGTACAAAATGAAAAAATCTTCAAACTTTAGCCTCATTATTATATTTAGTGCCTTACTGATCTAAATGCTTCAAACTGGAGATATATTTCAAACTTAGAAGACACTTAGACAGTCAATATACCAGTGATCCAGGAGGTTCAAAATTTGGTCAAAACAAACAAACATGTAGTAAAAAAAGTTTTTTTCAAGTACAATTTAGAATATCCAAATACACTGAACTGTTCAATCTCATTTAAAATATCCAAAATTCTTAAAGTAGCATCAGGTATGATGCAAAAATTATGCCCAAAGTATATTACTATAATCTCCAGTCTTATTTTACATACGTATCCATCAAATAACTGCATAATATAGAAGACTCATTTGTGTAATACAATATTACATATACTCACAAATATATATCTGCATAAACATGGGTCATAAACCATAGTATGGTAAAATTCTGAAATATTCAGCGATAGCCTGAAGCTGTTAGGTTTCAGAATTTGGAAAATGAAGGTAGAGGCCCTTACATCCATAATCATTTTGCAGTTTTTGCATGGTCCGATCTGGCTGAACAGCTGGAGGATTAGAGCTTCAGTCACATCTCTGGACAGGTTCCCCACATATCTGCAGAATYAAATAACTGGTTAGAAGTGCAGTTTTCCCTTGGTTTCATTCGTTCCTTATTGATAGGACAACTAGCAGGGGGCCTCTCTAGGTGGCCAGAGAAGTCTCCCATGAATATCTCATCCCAGGATACCGGGGAGAATGGTTTGGCACAACACCTTGCTGACGCCCTCAGACTTTCCTCCTTTCCAGGCCACAACTTATCTCTGGGAACACCCACAATACCCTGCCCCTCAGTAGCGGAGCAAATCCCACCCAAAGGTGCTCGCGCAATACCCTGCTCTGGCAGGTGAGCCTGCAAAAGCAAGCTGGTGACAGTGCTGTACCCTGGCTCTTACAATGAACAGGTGGAAGCTTTTACTGATGGTGGGAAGATAGCACCAAAGGTCTAAAATCCCGCCCTAGTTACGGTGGAAAGGCAAGTGAGATACGGATAACTCCATATCTCACTTCGATATGGATAATATGGACTCTATTAATAGGCTGGGTTAATAACAGGTTAATAATAGATTTCTTTTATAGGAATATCCATTAGGATTACTGTATGCAGTCATTCAGCAATCACACCTTTGCAAGCTGTGCTTGTAGTTTAAGCTCGTGTTTTGCAAGCAAATTACAGAATACTTCCAAGTCAATCCCCCTGGTAAAGGTCTAAGACCTGGTGAAGGTCTAAGGTTTGAAGTCCTACTTGCCTGAAGCAAATGTCACCCAGTGTGGGCATCTCCCACCTCCTCCGCTCACTTGTAAGGCCCAGCCTAATCCAACACCAGTTCACAGCTCTGGCAGAACTGACCTTCTGCTCCAAATTAACACTTTTATGTTACCTTTACAATCTCAGCAGTGCCAAAATATATCAGTCAACGTGATTTTTTTTTTTTTAAAGATTCCCAATTATAGGATTTTAAAAAGCTCCCAGGCAGTTGGCAGAAACTTCATTCTGCAGAAGATGGAGTGGCTCCCTGCTGCAGAGGGAGGCTGCGTGGCAAACCATGGGATCTGCAACGGGAGCCGGAGCCAAACCATCCTGCTGAAACCTCAGCCATGAAGAGAGCCGCCCTCCTGCATTTGATGCAACAGTTGCAGAGATGTTGCAAGAAAAACAAAAAGAAAGCAGAAAGCAGCAAATTCTCTTGTTGGTATTAAGTCCCCAACAGCCTTGCTGAGCAGACAGAAGCTCTCTACTGTTTCATGTGGCAAAGAACAGGCCACTTGCCTCTGCTTCTCTGTCACAAATGACACTGCAGGCTATGTCTAAATAATTTTAACAATTGCCTTAGGTACAAGGCATGAATGTGCCCAAGTTTAACACATGCAGACTTAAGGATTTCACTTAGCAGACTCTAAACAGCCCCATCGAGCTTTGCATGACCAAGATTTACAAAACGCATTCTTAAAGGATCACTTGCAGCATGTGTGTGTCCGTGTGTATATAAATATACACGTGTAGTTGCATACTACATATGTCCTGCCTTTGTTTCTGCCCAAAGATAAAGTCCCCCACTCGCAAACTTCCTGAATTTCTCTAAAAACGTTAAGGACATCCCTTAATGGGAGTGCAAATAGCACCAAAACACAAAACAAGYATTAACGCAACACAAAACAATAAGCATTTTTCTTTTATTACATCTCATTGCAATTGTATTACTTGTAACTGGGTACATCTGCTACCTGTCGGTGGCTTTTCAAGCCCCTAATCGACAATCTACAACATAACTGTAAAGTACGATCAACCACGCCAAGCTTGAAGGGAAAGCCAAGGAGATGCAAGTCCCAGAGCAGGAATTTCCATGCTCCTTTTTTTGGATGTATTCAACAGCATGTCCAGGCTACGCTCTCTGTGCTACATTTGGGCAGCATATCCAGAGTCCTTTGCCAGAATTCCTTTGCAGCTCTGCTCCCACATAACAGAGATGCAGGCTGATAAAACATACCTGGACTTTGTCCTGCAGTGGTTGTACAAGGAATAAGCATGTGCGTAAGCAATACAGATGCCACCTCGTGCATGACCCTTCCAGGGAGGCCCAGCTAATACTCCACAAGGGAAGAAAATAACAAGTTGCCTTTGGAAAAAAAACACCACTGTTTTGTAGCTATTCCTCAAATATAAAGGCGCTGCTATGGAGCAGTGGCTTTCAAAAAAAAAAAAAAAAAAAAAGACCAGATGCAAATGAGCTGTAATAACTGATTACTTAAGTAACATAACTCACAAAGTGATTAAAAATGCTAAGACTAATATTGTCCTTCAAAGAGAAAGGCTCTGAGAAGAATTACAATAATAATAATAATAATAAAAATCTAACAATGCCTGGTATCAATTCCAGAAAAAAAGGGACTACTTAAATATGCCGAGGGAACTAAGGAAACAGAAGCAGCCGCCTTGGCCGCCGCCCAGACTCTTCAGGGGCCCTCCGACATCAGGCAGCCGAGCAGAGGAACGTGTCCCCTGCACAGAGGGGATTTCTGCACAAAAATCCCGCTTTTAACACACGTTTCAGACCCAGGCAGGGAACAAGTCACGTTTAGGTGCAACTTCATTCATCGAAGCCCCTCGGGAAAACGAGACGGCCGAAGTTCGGCTCGTGACAAGGCTCCGCGTGGCACGAAAATGTCGCTTTGGGGCTTCGGGGAGGAAAGGGCCCGTGCTGGGTGCACGGCTCGTGGTCAGCCCTGCGGCTCGGGAAGGCGGCCGGGCTTCTGGAGCCCCAGAAGGGATCATGCTTTCTTAGGAGGGATTTTTACTTGATGTTTCTAGCAGCACTGGGGCGGCTGCGGGGCCGCCGCTACCTCCTCGCTTCACCGAGGGCTGCGCGAGGGCCCGTGTCCCCCCGCCATGGACAGGGAAGGCGGGAAGGGCCGCRGGCGCAACACGGGTGCCTGCGTGCGGGGATCGCGGCCTGACGCGGCCCCGGGGAGGCCCCGCGCCGCCGCCCCGGGCCCGGCCGGGAACAAAAGGCGCTGCCGCCCCCTCCCCACTCACAGGGTCTTGGGCATTTCATCCTCCATGGCGGTGCTGGCAGTGGTGGTGGCGGTRCCGCCGCTGCTGCTGCTGCCCTCCCGCCGCCGCGGCCCGTCCCGGCGCCGCGGCCCCTCCGGCCCCGCCGCGGCGGACAAAGCGCCGCCGCTGCTCGCAAGATGGCGGCTGGCGGGCGAAGGGGCCCGGCCGGCCGCGAGGGGGCGGCCAGGCGCATGCGCGCCCGAGAGGCGGAGCCAATCAGCTTCGTCCTTCCCGCCCCTCCGGTAGGCGGCGCATGCGGCCTCTACTGCGCCTCCCGTTCGCGCATGCGCATTATGCACCTCCACCAGCCTGAGGGGTTCCATTAGGTCCCCAGGCTTCGGGGTGCTGTCCGGTACCGGAAGTGCCGCTTGTCGCCCGCCATTGTGGGGGGCATGAAAGCGCAGGTCTAGACAAAGAATAAAAACAAGTACAATAGATATATGTGTATATAAATCAATGAAAAGAGCGTCTTGAGAGGGGAAAAATAAAAGCTGTGCGCCGCCCGGGAATCGAACCCGGGTCGCAAGAATGGGAATCTTGCATGATACCACTACACCAGCGGCGCGGCTGAGAGACGGCCCCGCCGCGCGGCCTATGAGCGCTGCCGCACGCGGGGCCGCCCCCCGCCCCGTCCCGTCGCGTCCCGCCCCGTGACGTCCCCGTGGCCGCGGCCTTCACCCCAGGGCAGCCGTCCCCGCCGCGTCCCGTCCCGTGGCAGCGCAGCCATGCGGCTCCAGCCTCTCGTCCTCCTCGTCCTGGCCGCGCTGTGCCCGCGGGCCGCGCCGCGGGCGGCCCCGAGCAGGATCGGTAGGTGGTGTGCGGGGTCCGGGAGCCCCACGCGGGCTTCCCACGCGCGCCCGCGCGCCGCGCGGCGACGGCGGCTGCTGAGCGCCCCGCTCTGCCCGCAGCCGTGGTCGGCGGCGGCATCGGCGGCACGGCCGCGGCCTATTTCCTGCGGCAGCGCTTTGGCCGCTCCGTCGCCATCGACATCTTCGAGCGTGGTGTGGTGGGCGGCCGCCTGGCCACGGTGCACGTGGACGGGCTGGACTACGAGGCCGGCGGCTCTGTCATCCACCCGCTCAACCTGCACATGAAGCACTTCGTCAAGGAGCTCGGTGAGTGAGCACCAGCGCTTCGCAACTCCCCTCTTTTCCTCCACCCCTAAATAGTGCAGTTTACCCATGGACAGTTTAGCTGCTGGAGGTGGTTTCCCTGTTCCTCAGCTGCGTGTTAAGAAGCAGAAATTCCTGCAGAGTGTCGCCCCTTTGTGATGCAGAAACTTTGCACCCTTCTCTCCCCATGCCAGCGCGGCTGCCCTGGACAAGGGTGAGCTTGTGTTGCTATCAGCAAGATATGGCCRTGCATCCCGGTAACCCGGGGCAGAATTCACTCCAAATCCTTCCCTGGCTCTGGTTCATAACCTCCTACCCCCCTTATCTCAGGAGCAAACTCTCATCCCCTCACTCAGAATTACTGCCCTTATTGAAACATCCTGGCACAACCTAAATTAAAATCAAAATACAGCAGATTTGCCCACAAAAAGCTTAACCTGCTACGGTATGTTCCTTTTTTTCCCTGCCTCAAGGCCTCGATACTATCCCAGCCCACGGTGGCCTCTTAGGTATCCATAACGGAGAGGAGTTTGTGTTTGAGGAGAGCAGCTGGTATATAGTCAACATTCTCAAGCTTCTCTGGCACTACGGCCTCAACCCCCTGCGCATGAACATGTGGGTTGAGGACATCTTGGACAAGTTCATGCGGTAAGAGAGGCAACTTTGTTGGCCAACAAGGTCTCTGGGGAATGTTTGGTATGGGAYGGTCAATCGGTTTGGAATTTAGTTCCCTAAATAGAATTAAAGTGGTAACTGGATACAAAATATTTSTTTTGCTAGAAAAAGTTAGAGGAAATAATGGCGTCAGATGGGATCAGATGGGATTCATCTTTCCCAGAGGAGGAAAAAGGGCCCTTGGTCATGAGCTGGCAGGGCTCGCTGAGAGCTCTGAACTAGATTTGAGGGGGCTGGAGGTATCATCGGGGAACCAAGCAGTAAGGTGACGATGGCCGGTCATACACTCASAGCAGCCTAACTCCAGAGCCAGYRAAGCTGYCTGAAGCCTGGACAGGGAAAACAGCAAAATAGGGACACTGCTGAAGGCCACAAAGTCAGGTTAGCCCAGCTAGAAAGAGGGGCTCATTGGGTGCCCAATGGAAATGCCTCTATGKAAATGCACGCAGCATGGGGAATAAACAAGGGGAACTGGAGATGCGTGTGTGATTTCAGGGCCATGATCTCACTGCAGTTACTGAGACATGGTGGGACAGCTGTCATAACTGGAACACGGCCATGGAGGGCTTCAGGCTTTTAAGGAGTGACAGGCCAGGAAGGCGAGGTGATGGAGTTGCCGTTTACGTGACAGCAACTGGCCAGCTGTGCTGCCATTCAGAGGGACCTGKATGGYTGGAGAGCTGGGCGAGAGGAACCTCTTGAGGTTCAACAAGGACAACAGCAGGGTCTTGCAGCTGCGCAGGAATAACCCCAGGTACCAGGAGAGATTAGGGGTTGGCCTGCTCAAAATCCCATGTAGAGGGATTTGGGAGTCCTGGTTAGCACCAAGTTAACCATGAGTGAGCAGTGCCCTTGTGGCCAAGAAGGCCAATGGGCTCCTGGCTGCATCAAGAGGATGTTGCCAGCAGGGCAGGGAGGGGATCCTGCCCYTCTGCTCAGCTCTGGTAAGGCCAAACCTGGAGCTTGGGGGCAGCTCTGGGCTCCCCAGGACAAGAAGGACGTGGAGCTGCTAGAGAGGGTCCAGCAGAGAGCGACAAAGATGATGGACTGGAACATMTGTCGTATGAGGACAGACTAAGCGAGCGGGGCCTATTTAGCCTAGAAAAGAGAAGACTGAAAGGAGATCTGATCARTATTTATAAATACCTGAGGGGAGAAGGTAGGGAGGAAGGGGCCAAGCTCTTCTCATTGGTTGCCAGTGATAGGACAAGGGGCAATGGGTATAAGTTGAAACTCAGACAGCCCCTTCTCCATGTGAGGAAGAACTTCTTCACTGTGAGGGTTCCCGAGCCCTGGCGCAGGCTGCCCAGGGAGGCTGGGGAGGCTCCTGCTCTGGAGATCTTCCCAACCCACCTGGATGCGCCCAGGTGCTTGTGTTGTTCTGCAGCTGTTCTGAATCTSCTTCCTTCTTTGTGGTCCCAGAATCTATCGCTACCAGACGCACGACTATACCTTCAGCAGCAACGAGCGCTTATTTCACGCCCTTGGAGGGAATGACTTAACCCGAATACTGAACCAAACCATTGATGAAGCCATGCAGAAAGCCGGCTTCTCCCAGAAGTTCATAAATGAAGTGATTTGTCCAGTCATGAGAGTCAATTATGGGCAAGGCGTTGTCAACATGAATGCTTTTGTAGGTGAGTGTTAACGAGGGTCTCCCCCTTGCAAAGTGAAACAGGTATGCATCTGTCCTAGGGTYGCCGTGCTCTACAAGGGACACGTTTGTTAGGGTTCCTGCTCTCAGAGCTTGGGCAGACTTTGACAGCAACCCRTTTGGTCCCTTTGGCCAAAGTCTTTCCTTCTGCTCTTCAGCACTGTCCTCCCTTGTTGGGCTGCTGGATTACTCTGACAAAAAAAAACTGGTTGCTGCTGTGACCTCGTGAGCCCTGTTCTCAAGCAAGCTRCATATCCCAATGGAGAACTTCTCCCTAACTTCCCATTCCTGTTCCAAGTGCTCCCCTGCAGAATGACACTGCAGAAGCAGGTTTAATGGGCTTGSTTTCCTCATAGGTGCTGTTTCGCTGACGGGGGTGGAATCCAGCATTTGGGCCGTCAAGGGAGGAAATAAACAGGTCTGCAGTGGCCTTGTTTATGCTGCCAAAGCACAGCTTATTCCTGGCACAGTTCTGTCTATAGAGCCAAAACCAAGACCAAACCCTGCCGGTGAGTTGTCTTTTACTTTCTGATGGGGTGGGGCAGAGTGGTGAGCTCTTGGGTTACTTTGGTCAGCTGGGAGCTACAGACAAGCAGTGATGGCTCCSTAAGTCAATCCCTAGCCTGAGTTTTTCATTAGTCTCTTCAATTGAAAGCTGGGCTCTGTTCAAGGTCTGAGATGCTTAGTCAGCTAAACTTGTATTATTTGTATCTCCTTGCGAGCTGAAGCATTTTCAAGAAGCCAAAATGAAATGGAAGTGCCGGGCGGGGGGGGAAGAAATAAAAGGAAACCCAAAAGACACTGTTAGGGTTAACAGGAATTCCTCCAGCAGCAGCCCCGGGCACTGAGCTCTCTCCCCTCTTGCTTTTTCTCCCTAGGGGGCACGCATAATCTGTACCATGTCACTTACAACTCCACATCGGGATCATCATCAGAAATGTACGACATCGTTATCATTGCAACCCCACTGAACCACAAAGTGTCCAACATCACCTTCAGGAACTTCAACCCTCCTATCCCCGAGATCTCAAATCCTTACCACCAGACCATAGCGACATTCGTGCATGGGCGCTTAAATACTTCCTTCTTTGGCTACCAYGACCCCTCTGCCTTTCACTTGAGCAATATCTTCACTACAGAGAACACCAAACTGTTCATCAAAAGCGTGGGGCTTGCATCTGCCGTCGAACACAGACCCGACAAAGCGGACCTATCCTCACAATCAGCTGTCTGGAAGCTGTTTTCAGATGAACCACTCACCAAGGAGCAGCTTAACTTGCTTTTCTCTTCCTACGACTCTGTCAAGGTGAAGAAATGGCTGGCGTACCCCCACTACAGCACCCCTGAAAAATGCCCACCTGTGATCCTGCATGACAGAATATACTACCTCAACGGCATCGAGTTGGCTGCCAGCGCCATGGAGATGAGTGCTGTAGCGGCCAAAAACACAGCGCTGCTTGCTTACCACCAGTGGTACGGGAACACAGACAAGATTGACCAGGAAGACTTGCATGAGAAACTGAAAACAGAGCTTTGAGCTGGAGTTTCCTTGGAATCAAATGCCACTGGCTTGCTAGGACATCCAGGCTCCACTGCTGTGCACCACAGCTCCATCCAGAAATAGAGATCACGTACAGTAGCAGTCTAACCACAGCTAAATCTGGTCAAGGAGCAGCTCTGCYGCTGATGAAGAAACACCTAACCAACTTAAGATACACTGAAGAGGAAGCTTTCCTATATTAATCTAGCCAGATGGTACCCAACTGAGCTGGTCCTGCCTCATGCGAATTCTTCCATCTATCCCTATATAAGTTTTTTTTWAAAAAAAAGTAAATTTAAGCACCGTCTTTGATCCTAAGTGCCCTTCATAATAAAATTACTGCCAAATTCGGAATCTGTGTCACTGTGATGAACTGAGCCCTGCTCTTCCAGACCCACGAATGTAGCTTTTCCTCTTTGAGCATGTTTCAGTCAGGGAAAAGTGTTCTCTGTAAATATATTTCCCTCCAGTATTTCCTTCAGAAAGTATTAAATACCTTGTTTTTGGTGTGGAACTTGTGCAGCATCAGTCATAGATGCATTCTTAGCTTGATTCCASAACAAATGCTGTAAAGCAGTGGGGTGGTGGCTGGCTTCCTTCTGTTGAAAGAAATGCAGGAATTGCCAAACCTGGTGGTAAGCAAGCAGAAGTGCTCTTTGCTTTCTCTAGCATCAAAATCTGTTGTTAGATATGAAACTCTTGGAGAGCACAACCATTTTTTTAGATAAGCTTCCTTGAGAATATTGCACATCCACTGACTATCTAATATTGCTGTAGTACCTTGTCTGAAGATGCAGTGAGCACAATAGGTTTTTCACAAACAAATGCCCTTCCTGCAAGTCTGTTGCCTTGAGCTTCTTGAAGTCTGTTATTCATGCTGCCTTGTCCCACAGAGCTATCGCTGGATACTGAACAAACTCTGTTGTCCGACTCCTGTGCCCACTCCAGCTTTGTCCAGCAGCATTCTTAATGTCTTATGACTAAGTGAACACATTTTAGRGGGTGTGTAAGCAGCTTTCCTCCATTCAGCTTGCTCCAAGGCTTCAGACTTCTAGGACACTCCTTATTTGCAGTCAGTGATCTCCGAAAAGCAAGCTCAATCTTTTTGTTCCTCGTTATCTTAATATATAAGATTCTGTACATCTCCAGTGCTCTACGTAGCACACTACAGAACTCGACATGTATCTTCTCAGACTTTCTAAGAAAGGGTTTATGCTCTGCCCCAGTTGTAGTAATGCTCGCAGTTGGCTTCAGCTCTTGGCAAACGTTCAGCACCACTTCGTTAACAGGGACACGAGAATGTCCCTGGCACTGAGGACCTGTAAGGAGGAGGAGGGGAAGAGTTCTTTGTTCACAAAAGCAAATCCCCAAGGCCAATTTCTATCTGGTTCTCTGCTTAGAAAAACTCAGCTGCTGCATGTCGCCTACAGGCTTTGTGCTTTACAGCTCTACTAGTAGGACAGAGCCTGTGGTTTGGTCTTCTCTAGCTCAAGCAATCAGCRCCACACACTGGAGTTGCAGAGCAGAATGCAGGTGCATTCACATGCGTTTTAGTAAGAAGGTAGGTTTATAGTGAAATACTTGTCATAAGCTGCAGATGGAAAGTGTAAGAGAAGTCTAACAGCCTGATTCACATGTCAGGGAATTTAGAACCAAATCTAATAACACTTTTAACATGCCAATACTGAAAAATACAGTTGGCTTTTCCTGCTGCAAGGACAAGCCCCTTGGCTTCCACTTTTCACCCCCCTGAAGAAAGCAGACCCTCTAGAYTTTCCATCTGCTGTGCTAGCACCTACAGCACCCCAGCTGCGCTGGTAGATAAAAAGGTAGACACAACTCAGCCAAATTACTTAAATCATTACAAAATTTATTTAACAAAAAATAAGTTTACATGGATGAGATGTACACTTGGTAGAAGATCCAAGGGCAGAGTTAGGTCTCACTGCAGCCTGACATGCTGCACACGCACAGGGGTCACGTAGCACACACTGTCGCTAAGGGGTCTCACCACTTTCTATACTCGTTCCAAGGCTTCTAACATAATGATGCTGTTTCCTCGTATTACCTAAAAAGAAAAGTTCACAGCAGCCATGACAAAGAACATCAGCTCCGTAGCACCACAGATTCCTCCTGCCCTTACTCAAACTTGTCTTCCTGGGAGACTGCACAGCACACAATGCTCCCCACAAGATGAAGTTAATATGAATTCTACAATGCTGAATGTGAACTGCAATGAACTAGAACCATAAYAGACTAATGTGAGCATATACATCAGTTCACATTATAGAAAGTTTACATTCTGTTTACATTATAGCCTGAAACTCAGCTCCTTTAAATGCACATAGCTGTGGTAAAAGCCACAGTGCCCTTAATTCACCTGCTTCAGCCCACATGACCCAAGCGAGCACTTACCACCATCCCAATGTTGTTCTGCTGGCCTCCCGATGCCATCTCCACGCACTCATCTATGACGAGGTTCATGAAGGGATCAAACCCTCGCAATATCCCCTGGACATGCCGGCCACCATTTAGCTTCACTACAAGAAATTCAGTGCATGTGAAGAGTGGGATCCTTGGCTGCAGGATTTGATGTGATATTTTTTTTTGGAATGGGGAGAATAGCTTTCTAAGTGCACCCTGCCATAGCAAAGGTTTGCTCTCCCTTAGCCACAAGCATGGAGCRCACAGCACCTTAACAGTCTGTATTAAAAGGGAAGTGAGAGCACAGTGAAATCCAGTGCAGAAATCATTTAAAAGTCTTTAGAAGTAGCGACTGAGATATAAAAAATGGCATTAAAGTAATGCATAGGCATAAAGTAACATAYATATAAAAATATATTTATATATAAACGGCATAAAGTAACATATTGGCACAGTTCGGTGTTGTTAGCGTATCCCCCGCCCCCGGGACTCACGTGACAGCTTCTTGTCCATGAACCTGCAACGACACGAGGGCAGCGGCTCAGCGCGGCCCCCGCCGGCGCCATGACGCCCCCGCCCGCAAGGCACGCCGGGAAAGCGCCGCTTGGGCAGTAACGGTCGCCCGGGCGGGCCCCCTCCCCTCCCCTCGCCGCCAGGCCGGCCCCGGCCGCGCCTCGCGCCCCCGCCCGCCCGGTACGCACTTCTTGAGCTCGGGCGGGTGCGCTTTGCTCATGGCGTCTCCTCAGCGCGGGGCCGCCGTCCGCTCTGCCGCTCGCGCCGCCGTCTGACGTCGCCGCGCCARCGTCTGACGTCACCGCGCCGCCTCCCTCCCCGGCCATCGCGCCAACCAATGGCGGCCGCGCCTCCCTTACCGCATTCCCCCGAAAAGACGCGCGTAGCGTGTCGCGAAGCGCCGCGCGAGGACCCCCGGGGGCGGCCTGCGAGGGGGTGGGCGAAGGGGCGGCCGYCCAGGGCGGTCCGAGGGCCGTCGGTGCCCGGAGGCGGCGGCGGCGGCGGCGGCACCGGTTTGGAGATGAGCGGTGCGCGGATACCCGGGACAATGCGGCCGGGGAGGGCGCGCCACGTGCGGCCGCGCGCGGCAGCACCGGCGCTCCGCGCACGTGGGGCCACCCCGCGCCGGAACCGGGGCCACCCCGCGCCGGGGCCAGCCCGCACCGTGCACATGCACCGGGGCCACCTCGCACCGGGGCCAGCCCGCACCCTGCACATGCACCGGGGCCAGCCCGCGCCGGGGCCAGCCCGCACCCTGCACATGCACCGGGGCCACCTCGCACCGGGGCCAGCCTGCACCCTGCACATGCACCGGGGCCAGCCCGCGCCGGGGCCAGCCCGCACCCTGCACATGCACCGGGGCCAGCCCGCACCCTGCACATGCACCGGGGCCAGCCCGCGCCGGAACCGGGGCCAGCCCGCGCCGGGGCCAGCCCGCACCCTGCACATGCACCGGGGCCACCTCGCACCGGGGCCAGCCCGCACCAGTGTCCCTCCGCACATGCCCTGCAGCCACCCTGCACACATGCACGGGTCTCCCCATGCTGTGCACACGCACAGGGCTCCCCACACCCTGCACCCCTACAGACCTCCCCCTGCACCCTGCGCTCTCCCAGGGACCCCCCTGCTGCACCCTGTGCACACCCGGGGGGTGCAGGGAGCAGCCCCGCACACTGTCCGCTCTCACACTGAGGTCACCTGCACCCCAAACACACGCAGGGCTCCCCCCTTGCACGTCACACACGCACAGAGGTCACCCTTTGCACCTCGCACCCACGCAGGGGTCACCCTGAGCATGCAGCACCCGTGAGTGCCAGCACCCCAGCACCCCGCTCCAGCACCCACGCCCCCCGTGTCACGGCACCGCCAGGGCTCAGCTCTGCACCTCGCCTTTAATAACCGCGGTGCCCGGCGGCCGCCGCTACTGCTGCAGGGCRGCCAGGCTCTCCTTCATCTTGCGGGCCAGCGCGGGCAGCAGGCGCAGGTGCTCGTCGCCGCACGCGGCCACGCAGGCGTCGAGCTGCGCCCGCACGCGCGCCTCGCCGCCGCCCGCCTCCAGCGCGTCCCGCGCCTTGTCCTTGCAGTGCAGCGAGCAGCGGCTCAGCCGGTCCTGCGCAGGGATGGGGGACAGGGTGGTGAGGGGCCCGCGGTGCCCTCGCCGCCCGCACGCTGCTGCCCGGCCCAGCCTCACCTGGAAGTGCTCCAGCTCGCCGGTGACGATGGCTTGTGCTTGTGCTAGGGGCGCGTGGCACCGCTCAATGCACTGCTGCACCTGCTGCATGGAGGCCGTGCTGTTCTCGCAGCACTGCGCGCTGCAGCGGAACATGGCACCCTGCGGACACGGGGCCATCAGAGCCTGCGTGTCCCCACGGCGAGCGTGCCTGGAGCCCAAGGGCCGTGCGGCCCATGGGGCAGCTACGAGGTGGGCACAGGGATGCAGGGAGCATGCAGGCTGCTTGCAGAGGTTGCTTGCACRTGCAAGATGCTGGGTGTGCAAGCTGTGCTGACACAGAGCATGCACAGAGTGTGCACAGGGCTTGTGCAGGGGTGAATGGAGCTTGTATAGGAGTGCATGGAGCTTGCAAAAGGGCTTGCACAAGTGTACATGGAGTGGGCACAGAGCTTGCACAGGCGTGCACAGAGTTTGCACAAGGATGTATAGGGCTTGCACGAGGGTGCCCAGAGATGACACAGGGGTGCACGATGCTTGCACAGAGCATGCACAAGCAGGCATGGAGCTTGCAGAGTGCGCACAAAGCGCATACAAGGGTGCATGCAGCTTGCACAGAGCATGCACAGGGATGCATGTTGCTAGCACGAGGCTTGCACAAGTTTGCACAGAGCTTGCACCGTGCTTGCACAGGAGTGCTGGAGCTCGCACAGGGTTGCAGAGAGCTCGCACAAGCGTGCACGCGGCTTGCACCGAGCGTGCACGGGGCTACSGGAGCGCGCCCCGGGGCCGCAGAGTCCGCCCGTACCTGCATGCCGCGGATGCGCTCCCGCTCCAGCCCCTGCACCATGCTCTCCACCGCCTCCTGCACCCGGCCCTGCGCCGCCTCCGCCATGCCCGGCCGGCCCATCCGCTTCCCGGGTCAGCACCGCCCCCGGCCCGGCCCGGCCCGCCCGCAGCGCCGCCCGCCCGGGCCGCCCAGCGCCGAGCGCCGCCCGCCCCCGGCCCCGGGGCCAGCGGGGCCGCCGGGTGGGGGGCGTCACGTCCCCCTCCCCACCGGTGTCCCCCGGGATGTCGCAGCCCGGTTGTGCCGGGATCTTGCACCTCAGATCCATGGGGATCTTGCAGCCTCTCCCAGCTTGGCTTGGATCACACGCTCCAGATCCGCTGRGATGCAGCTCCCTGGATCTGCTGGCATCTTGCATCCCAGATCTAGCACAATCACATACCCCAGATCCACCGGGATTTCACACCCGAATCTGTTGGGATCCTGCAGCCTGGCAGCCGGGATGTCACTTCCCAGGCTGGCTGGGATCCTGCACCTGCTTGTGCCCCAGCTCAGTGGGATCTTGCATCCCAGACCCACTGGGATCTTTGCTCCTGCCTTAGCCATGATCTTGCACGTTGGATCTATTAGGATCTTTGCAGCCTCTCTCAACCTGGCTCGGATCATGTGCTCCAGATCCGCTGGGATGCTGCTCCCCAGATCGGCTGACATCTTGCACCCCAGGTCCATGGGGACACCCTGGGTCAGCTGGGATCTCACGCCCTGGATCTGGTATCCTGGATCCACTGAGATCCCACAGGTGGGATCCAATGGGTCCTTTTGCATTGCTCCTGGCTCAGGCAGGATATCACACCCGGCGCCATCCCGAGCCCCTTCCCAGCCCCTCTCCGGCACTGTGCAAGGCGCAAGCCGATGCAGCCACCGCTTCCCCCGGACTGAGCTCCCGAGGGGGCAGCTCAGGCCATGCAGAGGTGCCGCAGCAGGAGCGGGACCCGCAGTGACACGTGCCAGCCGCCGCCGCCGGCACCGCTCCCGCGGGATCTGCGAGACTGCCCCAAACACCTGCAAATAGCAACGTCTGGGCGGCCGCGGTCGCTGCGACGTGCGGCTCGCCCGCGCCCTTGTTTGCATTGCTGCCGCTCGAAAACACGGCGCGGCCGGGGGGGACGAGCGGCACTGGGGAGGYGCTGGGCCCCTGCCAGCTCTGCCGCTGCCGCCCTTTGCTCCGTGGCCTGCAGCGCGTCCCCGCTGCGGGCAGGGAGGAAGGTCTGCAGCCCGGCACGTGCTGTGCCCTGCAATTGTGCCCTGCAATTGCACCCCGCAACGCGCAGGGTTTGCAGGGTGCAAACTTGCACTGTGGGGCTGCCCAAGCATGGCTGTGCTACGGTGCCCGTGCCACGATGTGATGCCCATGCGTGATGCAGTGCCCATGCCATGATGCGTTGCCCACACCGTGATGCAATGCCTACACACGCTGCAATGCCCATGCCACAAGAGGATGCCCACACCACCATGAAATGCCCATGTGYAGTGCAATGCCTGTGCCACAATACAGTGTCCACACCAAGATGCCATGCCCGTGAACCATGTAGTGCCCATGCAGAACACGATGCTCRTGCCATGAGGCAATGCCCATGTGCAATATGATAGCTGTGCCACGATGCAATGCTTAGGCTGCACTGCAGTACCTATGCACAACGTGATGCCCATGCACAATCTGATATCCGTGCCACAATACAATGCCCATGCTGTGATGAAATGCCCATGTGCAAAGCAATGCCCACACGAAGATGCCAGGCCTGTGAATGATGTGATGCCCATGCTGCAATGCGCATGTTGCAATGCAGCACCCATGCCACCATACAGTGCTCACACACAATGTGATACCCTGCCACAGTGCAACGTCCACATGAGATGTGATACCCGTGTCACGATGCCCTCACCAAGATGTCACGCATGTGGATGATGTGACGCCCACTCTGCAATGTGACGCGTGTGCCAGGATGCAGTACCTGCACTGTGATGGTGCAGGCTGCCTGCTGCTGCCATGCAGTGCCCAGGCCATGATGCAGTGCCCATCGCATGCTGCAATGCCCGTRCTCTAATGCAATRCCCACGCCACAATGCATTATTGCCCATGCCAGGCTGCAATGCCCATGCATAATGCAACGCCTGCACTGCAGCACCCACACCACCCTGCTCACACCTGCAGCCCCACACTGTGACCCCCGTGCCACCATGCAATGCCCACGCCACAATGCATTATTGCCCATTCCAGGCTGCAGTGCCCATGCCTCATACAAGGGCAGCACTGCAGCGCCCACACCAGCAGCCCCGCGCTGTGCCCGCCGTGCCGCTCCGCCACCGCGGCCGTGGCTCCGGTTCACGCAGCCGACGGCAGGCGGCGCAGGCCCRGCCGCCGCGCGGTGACGGCACCGGGCAGACGCGCGGGGAATGCGGCCCGGCGCGCAACGCCACCCGCTCCGGGGCCGGCCGCGCAAGCCGCTATTTCCAGGGCCACCCCAGACAACGCGCTCGCCCTGGGGAATTTTTTTGTCTATTTTTACTCCTCCCTTGAGGACAGGTTGCTTTTTTTAAAGGAGAAAAATAAAGCCCAACCTCCYGCTGCCTTGTGCCGCCACGGCAGCGGGGAGGGGTTGCAGAGGGAAGGCTCGTGCACCCGGACACGGGGACACGGCGCAGCCATGGGCTCTGCAGCACCAAGCCAGAGCTGCCCCCTCCTCCCTTCCCGCCTCCCGCAGCACCCTGGCACTGCCCCCAGCACCTATTTGCTCTCCCCAGTCCCTATTTTTAGCAAAGCCACGCTCCTTGCGCGTTATCTTTATTGCTGTGACGAGCTGGGTACACCTGGGCTTTATCACACGGGCAGCACGGGATGCGGTGCAGGGCAGAGACGGGAGCAGTTYGTGGCCCTGCTTGCCCTCGTGCATGGGCCCGGCCCAGCCTGCGGGGCACTGTGCACACGTGACACKTTGCAGCTGTTATTTCTGCAAAATTTGGCCCAAAGAAGACAAAAGGGATGCTCTAGGAGTGTTCACGAGGATGCAAAACCCCTGGGGTAAAGCACCACCTGGGCTGCAGGCACCCAGCCATCCCCAGCAAGGATCCAGCTGTGCACAGACCCTGCAGCTGTGCATGATCCAGCTGTGTCCAGGCCCTGCACTTCTGTCCAGGGATAATCCAGCTGTGCCCAGTGATGAGCCAGCTGTGCACACAGGCAGGCCGCAGCGCAGGGACCCCTCACCCTGTTCTCCCATTGAGGTTTTGCCCAGGGGCGCTGCAGTCCAGTCGACAGCCCCACCTGCCCCCCTGCACCTTCCCTTCTCCCAAAGCAAAATGCCAACAAAACCACCCTTCTGAAAAAGTGTCCTTTATATCACTTAAATAACTATAATTCAGGTATTAGGAAAAAAAAATAAAGAAAAAAAGAACAGCCAATCACAATAACATAGAAATCAATATTAATTTAACCACACAAAATAAATTAAAACATTAAATATTAACTTTCAGTGCAACATATACAGAAGACATTAGAGTAACTTAAAAAAAAAAAGAACAAAATAAGAAAACAAAAAAAAAAAAGCTTCAGGTTGGTTATGATGAAGACTATGAAAAGGATTAACAAGTCAACGGGAGGTTAGAGCACCGTCTCAAGGAGGTTTCCTAGGATTAAAGGTTCATTTTGTCATTAATAAAAGATCACATTTGTCCCCGGTGCTCGTGGGATCCCTGCGGCGTYCCGGGCTTCGCTCTGCCGCGCGCGACGGCCCCGTCACCCGCGTCAACTCGTGCGCTGGCGTGCTTGGCTTCTCCTCATGCCTTTTTGGTTTTGGTTAAAAAGAAGGAAATCCAAGCATCAGAGGGAAACCCCACGGCAGAGAGATGCTGTTTTCCGTAGATCCAGGGAGGTGCCGGGGGWGAGATGCAAGAGGGAACCGCAGCCATCCTGGGTGACGCCAGCTCCTTGCTCGAGGGGACAGGGTAAGACACACAAGTCGGAATTCCGATGGCTGGGGATGAGCGGGTGGCAAAGCTGGGAGCTGGGTGGTGCTTGGAGAGCTGCTGTGGTGCCTGGAACCCGTTCTCTTATCCATAGCACCCGAGCGTTAACCGGGAAGGCTCCAAACTGGCACCCCCATTCCAAGCTGGTGGTGCTTCTCCCCAGCCGGCGCCCAGGAAAAAGCCTGGAGCACCGGAGGAAATGGGAACTGGAGCATCACGGAGCGATGCAAAGGAAAGACAAGGGAAAAGAGAAAAAAAAAGGAGCTGTGCTGGTCCGGGCTCAACGCGGGAGCAGATCCATCGTGGCCACTGGCAGAGCTGGCTCCCGTCACACCGCTGCGGGGAAGCAGAGGAGCGCGGTTATCCCGGGGAGCCGCGGTGCCGGGCGGCGCGCGGCCGCGCTGCTCCTACCTGTCTCGGCGTGGCAGCAGGACGCGCCGCCCTTGAGGAGCCCGCCGGGCTTGTCGTGGCGGCCCGGCGCCGCGCGGCACCACTCGCACGGCTTCCGGAGCCGGCAGCAGCTGCGGGGCAAGCGGCAGGCCGTCAGGGAGCGCGTCCCGCTCCGGCGCACGGGATGCAGGAGGGGATCCRGGGCAACCGGGACGCGCAGGGGATGCGGGAGGCGCCGCACGTGCCGGCGATGGTATAAGCGAGATGGGACCCGGGGCCATCGCCCCTCTGCTCYGCCCTTGCCCATCCCGGGAAGGGGACATCTCGGGGCTGAGCCCACGCTCGGGGAGGGATCTGGGAACCAGCCCCCGGAGTCGCCTCCRGCTCGCGCCCAGCCGAGATGGGCATCAAGGCGAGCAGGCTTCTCCTGGAGAAGAAAGCTTCCCGGGGAAGCGTATCCGCTCATCTGCGGAGATAAGGCACCGCAGATAAGGCGGCGCGCACCCCGCCCAGCCCTTTGCAGCCCCAAATAAGGGCTCCATGAGGGCCAGAGGCACCTCCCGGGGGAGATGCCAGCCCCGCGCCAGGTCTACGTGGGGGGACCCGCTCGGCGAGCTGCCGCCCGTACTTACTGTATGAGCACACACACCGCAATGAGCACGGCCGAGGCCACCACCGACACCACCACCAAGGCC